AATTGATATTAGATATTTTGTGTTCATTTTTATAATTTATTTAATTAAACTTTATTTAAAAAATATTTGTAGAATTATTTTTTATAAAAAAATCATATATGTAATGAAATAATTCTCTACATTTAAATCTATACAACATAAATAGCTAGTTATAGAAATAATAAATCATAATCAACTTAAAAAGCATTTAACACAAGAAAAATTATAAAATTTAAATAGATATAAATATTTATTTATATATATATGTGTGAATTACAAAAATTTTAATTTAAAGTTTATAAAATGTTTTAAAGATTTCAAATAATTTTTGATTAATTAATAATTAAATATTTAAATGAATATAAAAATTAATTAATTTATTATTGTTAATAAAATATTCAAATATACAAATCAATACATAATCATTAACTAATATATATAATAATATTTAAATATACATTGAAATGTTTTAATTAAGTTTTAATAAAAAAATTGTCATAAAATAAACTATTATAAAGTAAATATTATAAACTTATAAATACACACATTATTATTTATAATGAATTATAATCAAAACATTTATCTAAACAAAACAAAAACATTTAAAAAATTATAATCAATACATAACAATTATTTATTGCAAACATAAAGTTAACAAAATAAATATTAACTAAAATATTTATTTTATTTTAATAATAATTTTTTTATTTTGATGCAAAAATAATTCATTTAATAATCCTATTTATACAAAAAGTAACAAATATAAGATACAGATTAAAATATATTATAATTATTTTACCATATAAATTTCTGAGTAATGCATATTGTTTATTTTTATAAAAAATTGTAAAAAATAATGTTTATTTAAGATACAAATATTAATATAGTATTGTTTTAAAAATGTATTTTATGATATTTATTTTATTGCATAAAAATTCATAAATATTTTTTTACACATTATTTTATATATATTTGTAAATTTTAATGATTTTAATTATAATACAACTTGTAACACATATATGAACATAAAATTTTATTTATTTATTTGAAAAATTATAAATTTTATTTTTTATTAAATTAAAAAACTGTAACAAAATAAAAAGTATATTAGTATTAAATTTTAACTAACGTATATCAATGAAAAAATATTTAAATATTATATAATTTGTATATTAAGATAATTGTTTTTTAACTAAATTTAAGATAAAAAAATACTAAAATTAAAGTAATAGTTTATTTATATATACTCTATTACAATTATACTGTGCTTATGAGTAATGTGAGTCATGTAATTATAATTGAAATGCCATAAAAGTAAATAATTTATAATAGAAATATAATATATTGGTTTTAATTTAATTTCTAAAATGATAGATAAAAGTGATGATAATTATCAAAGTCAGTGCTCTAAAATTAAACTCTACTGAAACAGAAACCAAAAACTGATTTGATATCCAATACAAAAAAAATTGTAAACATTTTTGTTGATTTTGATTTATCGGATATAGGATTTAATACAAAATCAGTTAATACATCATTTAAGTCATATCAACTGATCTCAAGTTCTAAGAATTACTTGCCTTTAAATTTACTATCAATGTCGTCTATTGTTTTCAGATATTAATCTCTCAGATTTAGGAATTTATGGCAAACCAAATACCAATCAAACAGACACTAAAGTTTTGACAACTAACGAAACTAATAAGAAAACAACACAATTTTCAAGTGATTTTTCGGAGACATTTTTTCTGATCATATTGCCAAAGAAAATGCTGACCAAAAAACAAATGATTCGACAATGATTTCAACATTTTATCAAAAGAAATGGCATTAGACGACGAGTTATTTAACGATAATATTTAAACTAACTATAAATTTGATTGATTTGAAATCGCTTAGAGAAAATATAACTAATAAGTAGATAAATCCGATAAAATTAAATATTAAAATTTATGTATTAAAATTAAAAAGTGTTAAGAAAAATTAATTCATTTAATTATATAATATTACATTTAATTAATTAATATGAAATTTTTTGTTTAAATTTAATTTCATTGTTAAACAAAAATACAACAATAAAATACGATTAATATATCATTTAATTATTTTATTTGAGTACTTTAAGTTATATAATAATTAGTTTATTAACTATCAATTAAAATCATATTTGATTCTATTGTAATATAGATACCGTATTTTTCTAACTAACTAACAGTATAGTTATGTATTTAAATAATGTACCATACATTTTAGTACGTACTAAACATTTCAGTACGTACTAAATATTTTAGTAGGTACTAAATTATACTCTATTTTAAGAGACATTTCAGTACGTACTAAAATGTTTAGTACGTACTAAATATTATACTGCATTAGCCATTCATATACAACATTCTGATTTATTTTTGACTACACTAATGCCACCTGGATAAGGCACATGGGAGCATCTATTAGAATGCAATAATATATTTATAATATAAAAAATAAATTTATACATATGTTATCAAACGACTTTATTATTATCATATCATGTATTTAATATTGTGATAAATTTTTATATCATATATAACTTTATGATAATAATATCATATTATTAATTGTTGATGTTTTTGCTAATATACTATTTACTCTTACATCAAAAAAGCACATATATTAATATTATACATTATAACATTGTAGGGTACATTAGATATTGTACAGGTATATAATTTTAATATAATTAAATAAATTTAATAGTGTATATAAATTATTGCTTAAATTATTTTTGTTATAATTACCTGAATAATGGATGGTATGTAACAAAATATTGATAATAAAGGCGACAAATAGTGCAGTAATTATTAATGATCTCTTTCTTTGTGTCCATAATTGGCAAAAATGATAAAGTAATCGATAGACTATATAAACGCCAATAATTAGTGTTAACAATGAAAAAATGATTCTCAGAGCTGGACATCGATTTAATTGTTCATCGATTACATAATTTTTGATAAAAGTTTCATTCATATAAATAGCCATTAATTTTGTATAAAATATTTCTTAAAATTGTATAAAATTAAAACATAAATTAATTATAAAAACTATTAATAAACATATTTATACTATTATTAATAAAATATTTTTCTCAGTTTTAATAACAATTGTAGTACTAATAATACTGTATCTATTATGTATAGAAATAAAAGTTTAGTATTGTTTTTAATGATAAGACTTTGAAAATACATAACTACTAAAACTTAAATTTTTGCGATAAAGACATGTTTCCAATGATTTATATCATAGTACTGTACAGTATATTGTATTTGTAGTAAAAATGATTCATCGATTTAATAAATTTCTTATACAATGAAAAGACATTTTTGAAATAATTAAAGATTTGTTTAGCAATATTTTAAACTTATCTATAATTTATCAATTAAACAATGTTGACAACTATAAAAAAAAATAATTTATATCAATTATATCGATTGGCATATAAATTGATAAATTTTCATTTATTTAAATCACATTAATTTTAAAAAGACTTTAAATATAAATATGTTTTATATATTATTTGATTTATCTGAATAATTAATATAACATTATTTTATTAATTAAATAAAATATATACAAAATTTTGAATTATTAAACTAACAAATACTACTGTATTATATAACTACTGTATAATAGTTTAACAATAGAATACAATAAAATTCTGTACTGATATCTACAGTATAGCTAAAGTGTTATCATATTATATTGTCTACAATTTTTACATTTAATCTTAATATAAATGATTAATTATATTCAAACTAAATGATTTTATATCAAACTAATACAGTATATGATGATAAAATATTTTTTTATTTTTGCACTTTACAGACAACTTCATAGACTAATAGTTAGTTATTGACTAATAAAGTCTATTTTTGTTGGTTTCCAAGAACCACGAACTGAGAATCAGATTAAGGCTGTATTGTTTGATCCGACGGTGAGCCCAGATTCGGAACTCTAGCATCAATGCTGTTGCCCAACACAAGAGTATCAACTGAACGATTGTGGACAACACTCGCAAGTCGTTCGCTAGCTTTGATTGATTTGGATCAATCATAAGAACCAATTGGCGCCACTCAGCAACGCTCATATGGGTTGAACCTTTGGACACACCTTTGACGACTACCGTTATGGCCAGTAATAGAAATCTGAGTATATATGCCGACACAAACACCATTAGACCGATATATGAAGTGTAGATAGCGGCCACCGCACCGATCACATGAACCACCGATACTAGGAATATGAGAACTACTAAAAGTTCGTGACTGAGACCTTCGGCACCAAAAAGTATGCGAACATATGTACAGACTTCACGACATTCACCGGTTGTCATCAACTGTCTGATGCCTTGAACACCAAACACTACTAAAGTGATGGCAATTGTTGAGGCAATCGATGAAAACAATAAAACATTCAATTTTGATGGCATTTCTGATTTATGTGTGTCTTACAAATGTTTCGATATTTTCTAATCAATTTTAAATCTAATTTAAATGATTGCTTTAAAAGTGTTTATAATTTGCTGAGAATTTTGAGATTTTAATATTTGTACTATTAATATGTTTGTTAAGTTATTATAGTTAATACAATTTATTAATTTATAGTTATATATTTATATCAAAATTTAAATATTCTCGTGAAATCATTTTCATAAAGTTTTAATCATTTATTTTATGGCATAAGTTAATGTATGATACATTCATTTTCAATTGTTTGAGTTAATTTGTTTATACAGTATTATTATATAAAATATATTATTGATAATATTTGAACAATTTATAAATTCATTGTAAACCAAAATTTTGAACAATAAAATGACAGACAATAATAGTTTATTAAATGATAATAACAATACAGATGATGATAATAATAAAAGTAATAATAATAATGAAGATATTACTAATGATAGACAAATTCAAATAAATGCAAATAAGATATCAGTTAATGATCTGAAAAATAAAAACAGTGATAAAATAATAGATGAAATGACAGATATTATAATCATGAATACAGACGTGAAGACAGTTAAGTATAAAGAATACGATGATTACATCAAAGGAGAAGTTTTAGGCGAAGGAACCTTCGCTAAGGTTCGCGAGTTTGTCCACAAACTAACAATCAAGAGATGTGCGGCAAAAATCTTCAAACGCGATCGCATGTCTTATCTTAAAAAATATAAACACAATATCTATGATAATATCAACAATGAGATCAAATTAGTCTATAAATTGAATCACAAAAATATCATTAAATTCTATGATGTTTTGGAAACAAATAAAAAAATCTATATATTTATGGAGTATTGTGTGGGACCTCTCAGTGATATAATACAGTCGGCATTTCCCAATGGACTTCCCAAATGGCAGTGTCATCACTACTTTTGTCAACTCATTGATGGGCTTAAGTATCTGCATAGTAGAGGTGTATATCATCGCGATATCAAAGATGATAACCTTATGGTTGATAATTCACATATCATAAAAATTGCCGACTTTGGAGTCAGTTATTTAACCGATCTGTTCGCTCCCAATGATATGATTAAAGGATATGAGGGAACACTTGATTTTATGGCTCCTGAGGTCGACACACAAGTTCTTTATAGGTATTGTATAATATTATAGCTTTTACTGTATATTAAAAAACATGTAATTAAACAAAATTTGTTTTTATTATTTAAAATAGTGGTTCCAAAGCTGACATCTGGTCTGCGGGTGTTTTATTGTTTAAAATGATTACCGGAACCCTTCCTGAAACGCCAATATCAGAAATATTACCCAAATATCCATTTATTATCACTGAAGACAAACCATTGCGACACTTATTTGAAGATATTTTTCAAAAAGATTTTAAAAGTCGGATATCTATTCGAGACATTAAACACCATCAATGGATTCGTCTGAAACAACAAACTGATGATAAGTCGCGGATAGAAATTCCATCAAAAACTATAAGCGATATCTATAGAGGTATAACATTATTGGAGAGATTGCGGGTTAAGTATGAATTAAATGTTAAAAACGAAGAAAACAAATGTATTAATCAAATAAAATATGAATCAACCGTTAATCAGAAAGATCTCAAAGTTAGGACCGATAGAGTCAAAGAAAAAAGACAAACACCGGAAGGTCGGGTCTCACCATTGAGACGATTATTACGGTATGGTTTATGGGACACAAACGGTCATTAATTAACATCATTTATAGCATAACTGTTTATAAATACATTTATTATTATTAATACTTCTAAATTTAATAAATATTAATTATGGTTAATTTAATTAAAATAAAATAAACTATCAGTAAACTAAATTTATCATTTTAAATAAATATTATGCAAATGTTTTAATTTATAAATATAGTAAAAATCTACCGGTAATAAGTATTGCTAACTTATCGTAAATATTTCACAAATTGTATTTACTATAACAATGTCATCAAACAGTCAGTCAGTTGTGGATCAGTTGCAGACATTTTTTAAACATTTTAAAAATTTTATTAATTAAATAATAAGATATGAGTTTCAATGAAGTATTGATTAACATATTACTTACAAGTTAATGTTAACAAATTATTTTTTACCAAAAATAACACAATTTAAATAAATAGTTTTTAAAAAAGAAAATATAGAAATACGATATGAAATAAAAATTCGTATTATATTATAAATAGAAAATAAACTAATATTATTATTAATTGATTAAAAATCCTAAATATATTTTTTTTAAAAAGTTCTGTAAATTTACCGGTAATCAAACTATAAAAATAGCAACAATTACTAAATTAAATATTACAAATTAATACAATAAACATTACAGAACTTTATAATAGCTGGTAATTATAATCCAATCCAAAAAAATCTCAAATTATAAATATTATAATAATATGGTATTCAGCGTGTATTCAGCAATTTGAGATATCGATAATTATATTTAATAAACTCAATTAAATAATCATAAATTAAATTATGCAATAAAATAAAACAAATGTTATATAACAGTATATTAAATATTCAATTAATTTGATTATAAAAAATCGAAAATTTCATCCAAAAAAGCTGTAGTAAACCAATATTGTATTATTGTATGAATGAGTCAATTGTTTTATTTATTAATCGCATATAAAATTGATGTCAATTATATCTATTAAATATAAACAATACTCAATCAATATCTGATAATTAAATAATTTTATCACACAATTACTTACATCGTCTATCTCTTCATCTCCCGATCCTTCGACAAAATCAATGTCGACGTCATCTTCTTCTTCTTCACCGAAAGTGACCGTATCGTTGATTTTGGCCGTTTCGGGCAATTCTCCGTATGACTTAAGATTGCGGGCCTCATCGGGATTATACTTCAATATGACATCAGCTTTGGCGTCCTGATAATCACGAAGACCCACAAGAATTATGTCTCCCTGATTGATCCAAACCTGTTAACAAATAAAAACATTTAATAAATCTATTGATATGTTTGTCCACATATTCATCATTATATGCCAACTAATTGTCAAATAAAATACAAACCTTTTTCCTAAGTTTGCCTCTGATATGACACAAACGTTTAATACCATCAAAACAGAGGGCTTCCAGTCTGCCGTTGCCTAACATTTTGATCACTTGTGCGTACTCTGCGGTTACAAACATCCAAGACTTAATTAATCGATAGTATTGAGTCAAATAAGAGAATATATGACAACAAAACAATAATCTTAACTTAAACTCAAGTCTATAAACAACTAAAATGATGAGACAATTCATGTCCATCAGTGGTAATACAAACCCTGTCCGTCCTCTTTGAAGACCAGTTCTCTCTTTTCCGTTTCGTTCTCATTCTTACCGCGCCTTCGATTCTTTCCTCCCTTTCCTGTCAAACAATAAGATAATCGTTAGTATAAATCAAGTCATTATCACTACAATTGATACCCTTATTCTTCGGCATAATTCAGACGAAACGATGAATTAATTAAATGTCAAATTAGTTAACAATTAATGCAATGAATTGACGGCAAAAAAATTGCGTTCAATTGTGTGCTAAACGTGTGGACACTGTTTGACACAAACATGTCATCCAATACTTGACTCTATATTTGTCCACAAAATAGTATATCATTTTAAGTAAAGTATTGTTACATTTTCATTGTTTCATTGCATTCATATTTCAATATATATTTCTAATCATAAAAGGATACAAATATTAGCTAAAAAAATAGTCTTTTTAAATATTTGTAAAATTTGAGTATTAATACAAACTTACAATTATTTACGTGACGTTATTTATGTACAAAGTTTTTGATGAGTTTTGTGGTAAAAATTGAACCAAAATTTATATACAATTAAAGCTCACTATAGTGTTGATACAAATTCATTGCAAAATCAATTGATTTGTAATGAAATCTAATTAATGGATAATTTGAGACAATTTGTATGTAATATAAAAAACTATAAAAAACTATAAATGTTGTCAAATATGTTAGAAATAAATAAATAACATATTGTTTAACACTTATTAAGTGTCACTGTATTGACTATATTATCAAATCATATAATCATTTGGTTATTGTTTTGATTTAACATTTACTTAGAGACCAACTGTTTGGTGACAATAATGTCAGTCATATACCGAAGTTTGGTGACGGCTTGCGACCGCTTTGTCCCGACGGCAATGCGACCACTTTGGGAACATCCGGCCGGACCTAAAACTATCTTTTTCTGGGCGCCGGCCATGAAATGGGTTTGTATTTAGTGGCCATCGATCTGTTGTCTTATGAAATGGCAATTTAAATGAGATTATGAAATAGTCGGGTCAGAGGTCGGGTTAGGTTAGGTCAGGGCCTATGTTATTCTGGATTAGATTTGTCAGCATATGATTTGATCCGATACTTTGATTGACCTTCAAATGTGATGATTGAATGTATTGTTTGTATTGTAGGGTCTCGTCATTGCCAGCATTTCAGACATTCAACGACCCGTCGATAAATTGTCGGCCACTCAGACATGTAATATATTTTAATAATTACAACAATTTATATAACAATAATTATAACCCAAGTATTGTTGCCAATGTAGCGGCACTGGCGGCCACAGGTCTGATATGGTCGCGGTATTCACTGGTGATAACGCCTAAGAATTGGGCACTTTTCTCGGTCAACGTATTTGTGGCGATAACTAATTGTTACCAATTGTCTCGTATTTATAATTATAACCGAAAAATAAAACAATAACTATAAAAAAAAGTTATTCATTATTATTATCGGTAATACCTTTTTTTATCTCATTTTATTTTACGGTATAATTGAATGAATTTGTCTAAAATTGGTTTAATATTATTCAAGGAATTATTTTTTCTGAATTTTAGTCATTTATTTAATTTTAACGTAATTTAAAATAAGTCAAAATTGTATTATCGGTAATAAAATTAGGTTAAAATTATAATTGTTGTACCGGTAGTTTTATTTTTTATAATTACCGTACTCTAGTTTGTACTCATATATATTTTTATTTGATAAATAGACCGGTATTTTTAGTCAATTAACTAATTAATTTTTTTTATTAACATTCACCGATAAAAAATTTCTCAGTGATGTTAAAGTATAATTATAAATGAATCTAATTATTTATTGTATATACAGTATATATTTTTATATATAATCTCAAAATCTGTTTAATCAATTATTGTTAGTATGTTTTGTTTTGTTTAAATAAAATATTATAAAATAATTAAATTAATATTATAATATAAAAATATAAAATAATATATAGATTTAATTGTTAAATTATGATAAATTGATTGATAATATAAAAATAGTAAAATGCCATCTGTTTCTTACAATATATAATTCAAAATTAATTAGATTTTATATTTAATTATTGTCTGCAAAATGGATAATATGTCTGTTCTTTTATTTACAATTTTACTAAATAGTAAGTATTTAAAAAATTATATAAAATATATAACAGTTAATTAAATTATGAATTAAATTGATAGTATGTACTGTGAGTTTGACAATTCAACAAATGTGTGAATTAGTTCCCGATACGGGATGCGGGAATCTTGATATTATACGTATTTATTATAATCCCATTTTACAACAATGTCTACCATTTTCGTGGTCGGGTTCCGGTGGAAATGCCAATCGATTTGTTTCCATAAAAAGTTGTTATGAGATCTGCCATCCGGCAGATCCCGGCATTAGGCGTATCACTGCCACTGGAATTCGTCCATATTTTGTATCGCGAAAACCACCGAAATATTGCAACGGAAAGATACCAGAAATACCTGAATTAGGCGTTCCTATTATGACATTATCTACTAAATCCCAAACCACAACTACCCCATCAAATGAAAAATTATCCGCCGGATAGTGAAAATGAAGTTTAAGAGAATGTGCAAATGTTTTTTGAATTTTAACAAATTATTTTTTTTAAATTATTAAATGAACAATATTATTATAATGTAAATTAATAATAAGTAATTATTTAGTTTAAAATAATACCAATATAATAATTAATATAGTATATTATACTATACAGTATCTTCTGTACATAACTACTTTATTACATAATTATTTATTTATTTTTAAAATTACAGATATTATATAAGTTATATTAATATATAAATTAAACATTAGTTACTAATTTATGTTACTAAAACATGTTATGACTAATTTCATTATAAACATATACTTTAGACTACACTATAAGTTTACTGAATAGCCTATACTGTTTACTTAAATATTAATTTAATATGCAAATAAAAATTAACAAATATTTTTCATTATTAATATCAATTACACATACAATTGATTTTTATGAACATTTTCTCAATTTGTTAACGTCATTATCAAAGGTTTTTGTCTACACAAATGGTTAGCCAATGAATTGGTTGTATTCTTGTAGTGAACCGGGATTATGGACACACATGTAGTTAATGGGATTATTATTATTATTATTATTAGTTGTTTTCATAACCAAAAACTTAATCGTCTACACGAATAATAAATTTGCAAAATTTTGATACATTTTCAATCAAATTATTTGAATTAATTTACACACATTCGTATTATATGTTTTTTATATACATAAGAATATTATGTTCAAAATAAACTAACTTTATTAAAATTTATATTTGATTTATTTTTATTGTAAATAATATATTTAAAAATATTAATAATATACTAATTATAGAAAGCATTAACACCTGGTTCGGACAATCTCCTCAATTAATACTGTATTTAATACCATTAAAGCCTTAATTAATCTCAGAATTGTATTTCAAATGTCATATCAAACGTTATTGAAATTAACAAATATATCAAAATATAAAAACAGTATTAAACTAAAATAAATTACATTATGCTCTTATATAAGTTGTAACTATATATAAAGTTATAACTAAACAATACAAATTTGGGGAATTCTCGATTATTATTTAAAGTAATTGTTAAATTATTAAAATTGTTATATCTAATTTTTCTAATTTTAGATAATTAGTGAAAAATCACATAACTGACAATTAAAGCTAAATTTCCTCAATATTAATATGAAAAATAGAAATTAATGCAAAATAAACATAAGTTAACACTAAGCAAATAATTAAAAAACTATGAAGTTAACAACTATGACTTAATTTTACAAAATCACATAAAATTAATACTGAATTATTAAATATATATATATATATATATATATATTGTTTATTAATTATAAACTAACTTTTTAAATAATTATTTAAAGTATCTCCAAAATAAGTTTTAGTTAGTAAAACCCTAAAAATTATATTGTATAGTTATAAATTCATCTAATAATTACCGAAATAACTATATTTGTTGGTCAATCATAACAAAGAAGTATTTATTTTGACAATTATTTTCTACTAAAATGGTATAAAATTACTTAACTCCCGGATTTGTCTAAAAATATGTTAATCTGAAACTTTTATAATAAATTAAATTTTATACATTATATTGAATTAGTTATATTTATATAATTAATTAATTGAATATTTATTAATAGTACAATTGTTTATAAAATTGCAAATAATTATATTACAGACTGTTTTTAATATTTTTTAGTATCAAATGTATCATTTTCTTGTTATACAATATTATAAGAGCTGTGTCTTACTTGTGATTATAAATTAATTAAATATTACAAATTTATAGTATAATCACAAATAAAACAAAATTATATAATGATATATTTGACAATAAATAATGCTAAAAACATTTAAAATAAATTATATTTTTGTAAATGACCCTAACATAGATCATTTTATAGTCACCGATTTTGCTAAATTTATATCACTTATAATACACGATAAATTAGAAATACTCTAAAAAAATTATTTTATAAAGTAATGGGAAAAAAGTTATTTTAAAAAATAAAATTGTATTTATTTAGGTATAACTCATCTATGTTAGGGTCCTTTACAAATGAAATTTTAAAAATAATGGTTACAGTTATTTACAATTATATTCAATTGCAAGTTTTTATTGACAGTTAGTTAACAATAAGTATTTTGATCACATTTATAGAAAGACATACAAAGAGAGTTTTCGGCCGGATTTAATTAATTATATCTTTTAAATTACATTTTCAAATATAAAGTATTATACATCAATTGAAAGCTTATTTAGTCAACATTATTATTATAAGAAATAATTTCTTTTAAAAATACTTTAGAATTTTTAGAACAATTTGTTTATTTATTTTTTGCTTCGTTCAATATAAACTATGTTAAACAGTAATTAAAAACAATTGTGTTTCCATAATTATTATTAGAAAAAATACCAAATAATAACAAGTTATATATTTATTAATTGTAATAATATTTCATGAAAATTATATGTTAATCATAACCCCAAAAAAATCCCGTATTTATAACATTTTAATTCGTGATTTTTTTAAACGTCAAAAAGTATCGGGTCTTTCTGACCATACTCTGGACATATAATATTTATAAAAATAGTAATACAATTAATAAATTTATAACTAATTTTCATAAAATGTTTATAGTTGGTATTTTTTTATAATAATAATTATGGACACAATTGTTTTTAATTATTGTTTAACATAGCTCATATTGACCAAAGTTACAAAAAAATAAACAAATTTGTTCTAAAAATTATAAAGTATTTTTAAATAAATTATTTTTTATTATAGTAATGTTGACTAAATAAGCTTTCAATTGATGTATAATATTTTATATTTGAAAATGTAATTTAAAAGATATAATTAATTAAAGCCAATCAAAAACTCTTTTTTGTATTTCTGTTAAATAAATATAATATTAAATAAAAATGCAAATTATTTTACTATTTTTTATTATAATTAATGTTTTGTCTAAAAGTTAGATAAATATATTTAAAAAATTGATCTGTATTTGTGTATATGTCTGTAATCTTATGCCTACACACATCATAAAGGTTGTCACACACAGCTATAATTAGGAAGTAAAGTACCCAATGTATGGATCATATAATATACTCAACTATAAGTAATTAAAATTATATATTAATAATATGGATATTATTGTATTATTATTAACTCAAAAACCGATAAATATATGCTCAGATTCTTGAGTTAATTGAATCCTAAAAATACTATATAAAGGCTATGATTTTATTCATAAGTTTTATGCAAATAATACTTTTCTCTTAAAGTTTATTTGTTTAGTTTGCCATTCAATAAAACTTTTTTGATTATTATTTTTCAATAAGCAATTTTCCCATTAAAATAGTTTAAGATGTAAGTATAACTAATTTTGATTAAAAATATTTTCGATTAATATTTTACTTAATTATTAAGATTTAAAAAAGTATAATATGATGAACTATATGAGCATTGGGACAATCATATCATTAGCATTGGTATCCATTTGTATTTGTAAGACAATACAGACTCGAAGTGATGTCAACCAAAACAGCACTTATTATAGAGTGTTCGGCACATTAAGGATGGAAAGACACAATACATTGAGATTATGTGGTCAGGCATTGACTGAAGCCATGACTGCCGCCTGTATGCCTACCTATGGCTATAACAACAAACGATCAAAGATTATACCCCTTAATACAAACCAAATAAATGGTATTTTATTTATTATATTTTTGTTAAAAATATTAATTAATTGAATAATTTTATTTAATTGAACAGAACTGATCCCTACAGAAGACATGCTTTATATAACCGAAAAATTATTTGAAAATTTCATTAATCAGGAGAAGCATCGGTTTACCAGACATGTGAGGTCAGCCCCACAAGAGTGTTGCGCCAATTCATGCACTTACGAGACATTATTGTCATATTGTAATACAACATCTAATACAAGACCCTGAACTATAACTGGCTTTCAATCCGATTAAGTTATGAAAATATATATTTTATAATTTTAGTTTTTTTTTATTTTCTTATATGATTTTAATATTATTATTCATAAATAATATGAAAACAGTTAACAACACTTTAGTATTTCTGAATTTTAAAAAACTAATTAAAATAATAATAATTTATTGTATAATTATCAGCCTATATTAAAAATTAAGTATTTACATAATAAAAAGTTTCAACAATAGCCATAAATCACTATTAAAAATAATGAGTAGACTAATATAATATTTAAAAAATAATTTTATAAAAGTAACATATTGTATAATATTTAATTAATTTTCCTATTTAATGTAAATTAATATACTTTAATAAATGATGTTTATAATTATATTTTATAATTAATTAATAATGAAAACTAATATTATTAATGAAAATATTGATATTTTTACTAATAAATATTTTCTTACTATTTTTTATTGTTTCAATTAAATTTGTTTTTAAATATAAAGTTTGATAGAAATTTTTAGTTAAACTTAAATAAATTTAGTATTTTAAACAAGTTTTCTTAAATATAATGAGTAAACCTAAAAATGATTTATTATTACATAAAACTGCTATATTAATCAATATAATAGCAATAATTTTAGGTAAATAAATTTATTAAAATATTGATAATTAAAAAAACTTTAATAGTTATCAAATGATAATAATATTAGCCGATAACGATGTGGACGTTTGGCTAACAATTTACTCACAAATTGATAGCAAAGACTTTTGGCAAACAGAGCCAGACTTACAAACAGAAAGAAGACTTGTTATCAATTGGATAAATGCAGACATCAGTCATACAAATGTTTGGATTGGACTCTATTCAAGTAAACCTAACATTACTTATAAACCGTTATATAAATTCATTACAAATGGTCAGAAAAGTGGTCATATAAGGTGTACTTTTAGATATTTTTTAATTATTAATTTATTGGATAATTTAATTATTGTTAATTTATGATTATAATAATAATAATAATAATTATTATTATTATTATTATTATTACTCAAAGGACTAATCAACAAATACACAATTATGATTTTAATAAAAACAATTTTATTAATGATTGTGTTAAAAGTGGTGATAATGTCTGGTATATTGTTTACGTTAAAGATAATAAAATATTAAAACAAAATTGCTTTAAAACAAATCCAAATTGGATGCAAAATAATTTACAAATAATTGGTTCTAAACGTCTCAATGATATTGTGATTCCTGGGTCTCACGACTCCGGGTGTTATCATAAGTTTGGTCTCAACAATATTCCCAGTAATTTATTTATTTTAATTACAATTTTATTTTAAAAAAAATATATTTAAACTTTATTTGATTAGCAAAAGCAGTTTATATGTACGCACAGGACGAAAGCATATTTGATCAGTTAGTTTATGGCATACGTTATGTTGATATCCGTATTGGTTATGACGACACTATTGAAGACAACAATCTACAGATAGTTCACGGACTTTGGAGTTGTTATCATTCCGTGGCATTTGTTTTACAACAAATCAAAGATTTTCTTGACATCGCTCCCAAAGAAATTGTCATTTTTGATGTCCACAAACTCCATGGATTTACTGATCAATTGGGAAATAATATCCCTGAAAGACATCAAAAACTTATAAATCTAATTATAAAATTTGTTGGAAAATATATAATACCAGAGAATTATAGTAATCATAATTGAAATTATTATATTTTATATTAACCATAATTTATATTTAATAGTTAATAAAACAATTGCTGAAATGATTAAAAACAACAAACGATTAGTTATTGGCTATCAAGACAAACATCTTTTAAAGAATGTTATGACAAAACATTTATTATGGGATCAAGTGATTCATCGATGGGGTAATAAACAAACAGTTGAGACATTACAAGACTATTTCAATGAAGAGCTCTGTTCTCATACACCGAAATACTTGCACTCAGCTATGGCTCAAATGACACCATCTGTTTGGGAAACACTTCTTCATTTAAATTCAGATCGAGGTCTAAGACAAAGAGCCGATAGTGTAAATCCTTTGTTTAATCAATGGTTTTATAATAAATGGAAAAATTGTATAAATATAGTGAGTGCCGACTATTTTCTTGGATCTAATGTCGTTAATATTGCTATTAAAATAAATCAACAAAAATTTACTCAATAAACATATTTCAAAATATCAATTGCAGTTTAAATTACTATTAAATATATTTTTATTTGTTATATTTTTACTAATTTTTTAGGTCTTTTTTATTTTAACATATATAAGTTGATATTATGTTTTTATTTCAATTTATATGAAAATTTTACTTACCGTTAAAGTTATTAAACAAAAATAATTTAAAATGATATTAACTATATAAAAATATGAATAGTTGTAATAAAATATTAACTTTAAATTAATACTAAAAAAAAAAAAAATTGTTAAAAAAATAAAAAAATAGTTGTTTTAAAATAATAATAATTTTAATAATCTAATATAAAATAATATTCTTAAAATGTTAGAAATAACTAAATACCGATAATTTGGTTTTTATAAAAAAGCATAATAAATTAAATATATGTATAAAATTGTTAATAAAACAGAAACAATTTAAGCTATCATATAATAAGTTATGTTTTAGTAGACAAACTGATTAAAGGCCGGTATTTATTAGTCGGACTCTTTGCTTTGATATCAGTCTGAGTTAAATCTGACTTTCGTTTTGTTGCCTTATATCTAGTATTGATATATTGAGTGCCAGATGTGTCCAAATAATAGTGTAATACAACAGTTATAATGATTAACAACAAACCAATCAATAGGAAGAATGAAGGCGTCATATAATCACCGGACGATAACTTTCGTACTTTATATTTATAGTTCGGAGGATTGAAATTATCACCAATTTTTGGCGGCTGTTGTGGCGGACTATCCGTTGGTTTTATTGAAGTACTAGATGTGGTCTCACTGACGGTCGATTCGGTAGTGAGTGTTGATCCAGTAGTGACTAATGGTTTAGTAGTGGTCGTTGTTTTAGTAGTTGTCGTTGGTTTAGTAGTTGTCGTTGATTTAGTAGTGGCATTAGGTTTAGTAGTGGTCGAAGTTTCAGTAGTGGTCGAAGATTCAGTAGTTGTCGAAAATTCAGTGATTATCGTTGATTCAGTAGTGACCGTTGGAATTGTGATAGTAGTTGGTCTAGTGGTTGGTCTAGTGGTTGGTCTAGTGGTAGTCGTTTGAGAATCTTTAGTGATAGTAATCGAAGCGATTCCAGCAGTTGATGGTGAAGTCTGTTGACTGACTGTAGAAGAAGAATCTGAAAATGAATTATTTGATGTATTATTAAAAGAAGTTTCGGTTTCTTCTTCTTTGTCCTATAATATAAATTATAAATAAATTTTATGTTTTCATAATTTACTCGATAACAACACATTTAACATTACATTTTGTGCTAAAAATTGACCGAAAATTAACAAAAGTATAGATAATTGAAATATAAAAAAATTCATGACTTGACTCTCTAACAAAAATTTAAATAATATTAAAGTCTAAATCGAAATGATTGTATTAAACAAAATATTGTGATAAACAAAAGTTTTATAAAATGTCATTTATATGAATTCTACAATTATTTTCAATTGTCGTCTCGCTATAATATAGCTTTTTATATGAATTTTATATACATTTTAATTACAATTAGTTTAATAGCCTAACAAACCTATAAGTAGAATCTATTATCAATTAAATACTGTAAATTATTTAGATTAAATATAGATATTGATATATTCAATATTAATATAATGATACATACATATATATATATACAGTATATATATATATATTTACCGATATATTTAAGTTAGAACTATATAAAATATTATTAAAATTATAATTTCTAATTAGATTTTGAATATACAAAATAGTCAATTAACTTGTTAGTATAATAAGTTAAGTTAATATATTTAATAAGTTAGTATATATATATATGTATATATATTATTAAACTATGGTAGATGTTTTCATAATTAAAAATTCGAAATATACTAAATAATAATAATACTTATTTTTAAAAATACATTAAGTTGTGATAAGTACAGTATTTAAAATAAATTGCATATTATTATTATGATTTTAAAATTTTTAATTAATTTATATTCTTTATTTTAAATAATTTGTTTTATAAAAATTCAATGTCAAAATTTTAAACAGTTTTTATATTTTGGCCGCTATTTTGTTTATGTTGCATATGTTGTCATTTTTGATGCTAATCCTCTATACATTATTTTTTATTTCTAACCGAATCTAAAGTCAGAATTTCGAAATTTCTCAAAAAAAAACTGCGGACATATGTCTTATGTTTTTAATGTTTATGTTGGAAAAGCTATAATATTTACATAGTATTGATATGTTAATTGAGTAATAAAAAGTTTTATTGTATCAATTAATATATGATAGTTTCAATTAAATTGCTTTATAAATATATTTAATATTTTCTGTGTCAAATGTTGATATTCAACTAAAATTTATAGTATAATGATAAATAAATATACCTGTATATATATAATTATGAGAAATCATGATTTTTATATAGTAGTTTAATATTAAATATACGCAAAAAATCACTTTTATTAATATAAATGTAAATGTTTAAATATTTTTAAATATTAAACAAAACAAAATCGATAAAACTAATTAATTGGTCAATTAATACAAATGTATTTGAAATAATTATAATTTATTATTAAATCTGCTGAAAATAATTTATATGCACATTAAGTGCCTGTATATATGGTACACAATGTTGTATATCGTAAATATCTGTTTGTAAATTGTATAAATTGTAAAACAATACTATATTTGTATCTTTAAATATTATTATATTTAATTAATTGACGCTTTTAATATTTGAGTAAAATACTGTAATTTTTTGTAAAATTATAATATAATTTTATAAATTTATTAATTATTGAGACAACTTTGAAAAATATAACTAATGTAAATTACAACAAAAATAAAATACAATATAATTGAAATATAAGTGTTAGTTTCGTTATCTTTAAGTGTTTTTATAAATTAAAAACAAGATATTAGTTAATTATCAATAAATTTGCTCAAAACACTTATAAAATAAATTGATCGGAACAAAAAGCATCAAGATAATCTATTTTTATATTATTACAAAAACCACTGATAATTAAAAAGTATATAAATGTATTACTGTATGATTCAAATTAGTATAACAAAAATAATAATTAAAAAGTGTTATTTAAATGATTACTAATAAAATGATAATTAATGTTATAAATTAAACTTTAACCATGTAGAAATTTGTAATATCTATAATAACTGATATTATAACAGTATTATTCTGCATATTTTATGCACTTTTATTGATAATTTATAAATTTTATTGAAAATACAGTATACACTAACAAACATACATAAAAATTAATTGAAATTAAAAGAGAAATTAACATAATTCCCTTATTAAAATTAATACTTAAAAAATATATTGTTTTAATTAAAAAATAAACACATTACAGTAGTAATAAATTAGCAATTAATGAATGTAAGCTTAATATTAATAAAGTTATACAGTAGATAAGTAGGCAATAAGTTACTTATAATAATTGTTAATAAAAATTGGATTATACTGTACTACAATAATTGTACAATATATATGTACCTGTACAATAATATTATATATTAAAATTATAAATTATATATTTATAATTCTAAATAAATCATTACACATAATAATATTATATTTAAATACTAATACTAATATTTATATAAATCAATATTTAATAACAAAAGAAGATTCAAAAAAATATTATAGTATCTATCAAATTATGTAATAAAAAATCTGATACTTGTTTTTTTGAATAAAATTGATAAAAATATATGCAATTTGACATAATTTATAAAGAGAAAAACTTACACTATCTTATGTTTATTTGCGATAATTAAATGTATAAATTTAATAAAACAAACACATTTACACATAAACACATTTATGGGTTTTAATTTAAGTTTAACTAATAAATATGTTTGTTATTGATGTTGTATATGATTGGTCAAGAAATTCATAAAAACATTAATTAAAAATTGGTTTTGCATTACATTATAACAAACTGTTGATAAAAAATAAGGTAATAATAATTTATTAATTTTAAGCTATTATTATACTGTATATGAATTGTGTTTATATTATAAATTTTGTTAAATAATTTGAAAAAATTATAGATTAGATAGAAATAGATACATTTTATTTTTTTAAAAATTATTGATTAAACGTATCATTATTTTTTTAAAAATAATGTGAATATAATATCATATATACATATAAATGACCTAATTATTCAAATGTATTTAATACTGTATATAATTAATTATATATTTTTTATTCAAATGTGCATGCTCAATTGTATATGATAAGATAATCACATTTGGTATACAATTAAATGGACAAATAATTGTATAAATAATTATAAGACTGTTTTACACATCAAATGTTGTCTATTATTAAGCGGACAAACAATTACAGACTGGATGTCATATGATTACACAAAATACTTTGATTTTAAAATATTAATAATAAATTGTTTTACATATTAATGATAATTTCACTAATATCACTAACTAATGATTATAAATTATACTAATATATATTTTTAAATATAACACAATAAAATATAATCATTTAATAATAATAATCTGTTTGCTAACTACTAAAAACTTGATATATTTATAGAATATTTTTATAATTAGTATTAGTATTTCAATCACTGAATGTGAAAACCAATTGAAAATTAGCGCTAAAAAGTGTTATCCTATGGTATAGTAAATCAAATGATTGCATACAATGTTTATGTTAACTAAAAACAATGTTTTTTGTGTGCATTTCAATCAAAATTACAATTCAATCAATTGATTGACATTTTTAGCGCTAAATTGCAAATTGCAAGCAAAAGATTGTGTCAAAAGTGATGATATAAGAAATGGTACCAAAAGTTTATTTTTGTCTCTTCTGTGTTAAGAAGTTAGTCAATGAAAACGATTTGACTAAACATATCATTGATAAACACTTTGACGGCAATGTCGACAACAAAACTGATGAATGGATCCTATCTTTTGGTCAATACGTGAGTCGTGTGAACCATAGTCTCAATCAAGAGCCACAAGAGTTGCCCCAATCGTCGGTCGAATGTTTGTCACAGAAATTACTGATTGGATGTCTTCTTTGTGACCGAATTGTCCATCACTTCAAACTTGGTCTTCACAACGACTATCCCAACCATAAACGCAAAGACAAGTGTGTCTGTGGCGGAGGTATAGAAGTGAACAAAGTTGTCATCAAATGCCATCTCTGCCAACAACTCTTGCATTACGATTGTGTGGAACCGTCAAACTTCTCCGGTAATGACAATCACATTATATTATTGTCAATATATTTAATTGATTTTTATATCATATTTAATATAATTATAAATATAATTATTTTTAGTTAATATTTTTTTCGGTTTATCAATTAATTTACGACAAAAAATGAAAAACATTTTTAAAATCTAGAAATTGATTATTAAGATCTGTTTAATTGATCTATTATTTAAAATTAATTTTATTTTTTATTAAAACTACAGTATTTTTTAAAAATTTCTATTACGGTATATATTTAATGATTTTATTGACTATTAAATAAGTGACATTTAATTTATAACAATTAAAAATATTTAATAATTAACTTAATTTAAACATAACTTTAATTATTAAAATACAGTTATAAAAAATTTAATAATAATTAAAATAATTAAATCAAATTACAATATTATTTAGTAGTAGTAGTGAATGTTTGTTATGCATATCATATTGTTATTTGCGATCTCTAAGAGTTAAGATTATAAAAATATAGTATAATATTGAATAAATTATATTATATAATCAATATTATAATAATTTCTGCTCAATAGATATAATATATTAATACTACATTATTACTGTATATAGTAGTTGCATCTATTAATATGATATATTTAATATATTAAATTATACCTTAAATTTATATTAATATTTGGCACTTAAGTATTTTAATATTATTGATATTTTGTAGTATTAAATGATTATTTTTAACTTAGTAACAAATATTTAGTAAAACTGCATATAAGATGAGATTATTTTTAATGTGTTTTTAATTTTTACTAATTATATGGTTTGCATAGTGAGTATGTATTATAAATTATAGTATAAAGATTTGTTACTGTATGTCATTATTTAAGTTATAATTTCTATACTATAATCTATTGCTGTTTATAATAATCTACAAATATATTAAAGGGAAATAACACACACTTATTGTATGTTATTTGTGGTAAATTATTTGAGTAAATTTTTCTTTAAAAAAAATATATCAATTGATTTCCATGGTTTTGTATAACAATCCCATAGATGTTTAATATTACTGTATTATCATTTGTTTATTAAAACAAACACAATTGATTTTTTATAAATAATAAATTTATACAATAAAAAATATTGGTAAATATAAATGTATTATTTAAATTAAAATAAGTTGTTTATATAAAATACTATTTGTATTATATGTTAAAATATTTTATTGTTGTTTGATTTATTTTGGTAACTATCAACAAATATTTTATCAATAATATAAATATAATTATTCCTATTTATTAATTTAAATTAATAATTTTATTTAAATTTACTTATTAGTTAAATATATATTATTTGAAATGTGTACATGTACTGTATATTTAATATATATATATTATAAATGATATGATAATAGTGTTTGTCGGGGTAACTCTTTATATTAATAAATAATTAATGTTTATATTACTTAGTACTGTACTTATTAACAACAGGTAATATACTATAAATTTATATTATAAATGTCATTTTAGTTATTATTGTATCTAGGTCATTCAATATTTTGTTTGTAATGATTTTTACTTGGTATATTTTATTGAACAATGTTTAAAAATGTATTTATTATGTAAATGAAATATAGTATATGCAATGAATGTCTAAATTTGCAATATTTTCAATTCATTACATTTTTCTTAATTGATTTTATATGCTATTGAAAACTTATTAGTCATTTAATTTTTTAAATAGTATGTATGTATGTGTAGTGTAAGTAATATTTATATCGATATGAATTTATAGGTTAATTAAAATATGAATTGTAAATCAATAACAAACTGATATTAATTAATGTTATGATATATTTAATTAACAGGTGAAGACACATCACTATACAAATGCTACAAATGTAAGCCCAAGGAGTATAAGATCGAGAAATTGAAAGACTTTCATCAAAGTCTACAAAGACTTCATTTATACCATCACTTCTCTTATTTGCCAATTTTATGTAAAGCCGTTAAAACAGTGAATGGAAGACAACAGGTGTGCAATGAATCGTTTCCATTGAAGAACTTCCTTAAGGCACACATCAAAGCTGATCACAATATCAATCCTAGCGATCAAGTGTTAGAAGAAATCTATTTAAAGAACAATCAAATACCAAAATTACAAGACTTGATTGATAATTGTTTGCAATTAACTAATGGTAACCCATGTGTACAAAGTGTTGACACTTCAAAATTTAATGAAACAAATTATCACAAAAATATTACACCAAATAATAAGTCAAATGGTTTGGAGGCACCCATTCTGACAGCCGTTCAATTAAACCCTACTTTGCCGTCAGGATCTTCAATAAGTCATTCGTCGCGACTAAATATGAATCAAGTGTTTAATAAAATTCAAAACAAAAAGAAAGTGACAAACAATGGCATTAATCACCGCAATAGTTGCAGTTCTGGTCAGTCCAATGTTTTAGACACTCCACCAGTTCTCGTTAGTGAATCATCAGTTCCTCGCCAACAAACCATTCCCGTCAAACGTCCCAGAGGTCGACCACCAAAATCTCAGAGCAAAGCCGGAAATAATTGTACGCCTCGTAATGTATCGGTTAAACCACATATTACTCCAAACAGTGATTACGCTGACAGAAATCCAATGCCACGTAACAGACTGTCGGCACAGTCGAGAGCTTCGCGACCCAACATTAGGTTAAGTCGTGAACAGGAAAAAGCTCTTAAAGAGAAACAAAAACGAAATTTTAATGAAGAAAGTGATAGTTGGGACTCAGATGTTGAACGATTTGAGCGACCAAAACGTGTCCGAACTTCAAATAAAATAAGTCCAGTAAACAATGCGTTTAACAATGTGGTCAACAATGCGGTTAACAATGCGGTTAACAATGTGGTCAACAATGCGGTTAACAATGTGGTCAACAATGTTAGTAATCGACAAACCAATGATCTCAATAATAAAAGAAGTCCTAACTTACAGACAACAGGACGGCCCCGATCTCAGACACCTCTAGAAAGTAATACAACTGAAAGTAGCGCTAACTCACCACTCAAAACATTACCGACTCGTCCGCGACTTTCGACGCAAATAACACGCATTTTGGATACTGAATCGGACCAAAACCACAATAACCAAAATGGGATGTCTAGTCAAGTAAATGGTATGAATAATATACAAACATCTGATCCCGAAGTACGTCATTTTCATCACATTAGTCGCTCAGGTATTACTTTTGACAGTGAAAATACATTTTAAAATATTATTTTGTAATTTTTTGTTTTCTACAATTTAATTACTAATAATTTATTATTGGATTATTTTTTGTAGTATTTATTACTTTATTATTTTTAAAATACTATTACATGATTTATGTTATTTCTTTATTTTTGTATTGAGTTTTTCAATGAGTGAGTTATTAATAAATATTGCATTTTTTTAAATAAATTTTTAATTTAAAGATTGGTTATTACGCAAAAAACCTGCCAAATATCCATACTTTCCCCAATTGGGTGATGAAGTGGTATATATACCGCTGGGTCATCGGTCTTACATTGACGCCGTCAGAGTTAATCAACACTACATTCAGACAAATACTAATAAGTTTGTGAACACAAATGACTGTATTTTTGCAAAAGTTAAAGAAATCAAATTTGAAAAACACAAGGATATCACTGTTTCAAAGTTAACATTGATTTGTTTGGATAATACAAATAATGAAACAAAACAACAATTTACAGTCAAATTTCATGACATCGACAATGTGATAGATTTTATTATATTGAAACAAATGTATGACAATAGTATTAAAATTGAATGGAAAGTCGGAGATCAGTTTCGGGCCATTGTTGAAGACAAGTACTGGTTTGGAACAATTGCCAACTTTGTGCTCAATGCCAACAACGAAATGTCATACTTTCAGTCTATAGGCGTCAAGTGGGCCAACGATTCACATGAATTGTTAAGTTTTTGGGATTTGGAGAAAATTAGAGGAAAAATGCCATTAAATAGAAGAAATTCTGTTGAAGTAACAGATGAAGACAGACATCTGTTTTATCGATCAAATGTAAAGGAATGGCCCGTTAGAGGAATGGCTTATGAATGTAATCGTATTTCTAATGGTATATACTATCTACTAGTATTTCTTATACTATTAGTTTATTTTAATTATTTATTAATATTATTTATATTGATTAGGTTTGCGTGAAATCATGGCTTTACCTGAATGCCAACAAATGTCAAAAATGATAAACTCTTCAAAACATGATTATGTTAAAAACACTGCTTATCCCATAACAATTGATATAATCAAATCCCGTGTCGACAATCATTTTTATAGACGTCAGGCGGCCATCAAATGTGATATTAAATATATTTTCACGAATGCCTGTTCTCTCAATACCGACAAAAATCATAATCTCGTAAAACATGCTTTAGTTGTGACATACGTTTGCTTACTATTTATCGATAATCCGAATGCCATTAATATTAAACTATTTTACGACAGAGCCTTAGTTGAGCCAATCAATAACGAAACTGTTAGGTCTTACTCTTGTCACATGAACTCAATGAACAATAGTCAAAATGAAAGAAACAATCCATCAAATGTAGTGATAGATCACAAACAGACCATTAATCATACAAATGATGAGGAAATCATTTTACTCAGTTCTGATGAAGAAGAAGAAGAAGAAGAAGAAGAAGAAGARGTAGATCACAATAAAAGAAGTTCTCCATTGAATTCAAGACAAATAAAACAGGAAAAGATTGACGAAAGAGAAAGAAGTATGTCTTCGTCTTCCGTCTTAAGGCGTCTGCCGAATGCAAACAACTTTACTCCAACACAGGTTAGACTGTATTTATTGAAATATTAATACTTTATTTATTCCATTATTACAGTCAAATCAAGTGAGTCGTCCATATTTTTGTGTCCTAAGCAAAGAACTGAACACATTTGCCGATCGCAACGAAGCCATTGATCACTACTGTAACAAACTTAAGGTTAAACTAAAATGCAGTTTATGTCCACAGAATCTCAAGTTTGAATCATTAGAACAGTTCATTGGCCACAATCGCGATCACATTAACTCAATGCAGCCATCATTTGATCAGAAATCATATGTAGATCACATTAATTGGATTAAACAAATGGTTACTTATAGTGAAATGTTGACAAATGAAATGACTATTTATAGAGAGATAAACACATTATATGGTGACTACTGTCCCGTCTGTAATAAACTGAATTACATGACTCAAGACGTGAATCCATTTTACAATCACAAAGTGTTTAGTATTAATAGAAAGAATTTGGGCATTGATTGTGACAGAAGCTCGAAGTCTAGGTTTGAAGATCACGTCAAAGAGCACCTCAGATATACATCACAACAAACTAAGATTGAATCCATTGAACGACTCATCAAAGATTCTGTAAATCTTTATGTTATCTATTGTATGAATATTTGAAAATTACTTCAATTACATTACAGTAATTGTAAGTAATTCTAGTATTTAGATAACAATTTATTATTTCTCAATTTTTATGTTTACTGTAAATAACATAACATTTTTATATTTTTGTTTTATACAAAATATCACTTTGTTTATTACGGTATGATAATCATTAGTATAATTTTTTTACGTTAACGGAAACCAATTTGTTGACTGTACAGGTAATTTATTTTTAATTCAAAATTATTTAATATGTAAAGTCTGTAATATTTGAGTCATTTTGTTTAATATATTAATAATTATTAGAGTATTCAAAGGTTTTAACAAAAATAATTGAATTACAAAACACAATATCAGATTTCATTTATTATTTAAAACAATCTATATTTGATTTTAATGATATATTAATTATTTCATTTCAATTGATATTTATTATTACAAAACCTAATTATTAATTACTGAGATCTGTTAATGTGCAAATATATCATTTAAAGCATATCATTAATTATTTATTTAATGGCAATTATTTTGTTTACCGTAATATGTTTTGAAATCTTATAATTACCGTATACTAAAAAACAAAAAATCTAAAAACTGTTAATATTTTCAAATTATAATTTAGTTAAACATTTGTATTATCGATTTTTTTAAATTTTGAATACAATTTAATTAAAAAATATTCATAAACTACTCGAATACAATTTGCTCATATTTTTGAATATAAAACTACTATAATTATTATTTGTAACTTTATATTATATCAATTTTACCAATTATTTACTGATAAATGAGTCTAATGACTGTATCATTTGATATATTCCTAAATGTATCAAATTATAATTAACGGTAAAAAATTAGTTTTTTAAGAGTTTTATATTTCAATATCAATTTGTGTGTCATTATTATAAAATACAGAATAAAACGAATCTCAATTTTGGTAAATACAGTTTTATTGTTTATTTTTTTTTTATTTAAATATTTACAAAATACAATTATTATTATTCAATTTAATTATTTGTATTACAAAATAATTTATAATAGATTCAGCACTGATCAAAAATTTGAGTTGGCTAATTTTAGGTAAACATTTAATATACAGCATATTTATGTTTTATCTAAATAAATAATTATTATGTCAATTGATAGGAATAACACCAACCTATAAATTAATATAAATTAATAAATAAAATATCATTTTTATGTCAAATTATAAGAAAACATACGCCAACTCCTCCCTCGTGTGCGGCCATAGATGTAGTGAATTCCCAACAATTTTTTTCGCTATTATATACTTCGACTGTACATAAATTGGAGACACCATCTGAATGACAAAAAAGTTTAGTAAGTTTTAAAATCAACACCAAATTGATACAAACCATAGCCGCCGATAGCATATAAGAGACCACAATTGGCCACTAATGCCACACGACTTCTCATAACGTTCATCGACGCTACCAATGATTGTTTCATTAAATATATTATTAATATTTCAATATTTGATTTCTATTGTCATTACCGATATAATTCCATTCTTCTGTTTTCGGGTCATAGACTTCAGCCGTTTGTAGAAATGTTGAGCCGTCATAACCACCGCAAACAAATATTTTCCCTTTTAAAGTGGCCACACCTAATCGGCACCTATTCATCATTTTAAATTATTACTGTTGATTACAATATTTTTTGATAAAACAATCAAATAACAAAAAAAACCTTTTGGTACGCATCGGTGGCATAAAACTCCATTTTCCAGTTTGAGGATCATATCTTTCAACTGAATCAAATATAGATAACCCATCGTGTCCTCCAAGAGCATAGATCTGTCCCTCAAAAGCTACGACACCAGCAGCTGATCGATGTCTGGACATTGATGTAACCATTGACCACTCATTGCGATCCAATGAATAGCACTCAACAGTACTCAGTGATGATATGCCATCATAACCACCGCAAACGTATAACATATTGTTAAGAGTGGCCGCTCCCACAGCACTTCTTTTACAATTCATTGGCGACACTTTAGTCCAACTTCGAGCTTTCGGATCAAACACTTCTACAGTACTGAGTCTTTCGCTTCCCTATTATATCAAATAAAATATTATTTTTTTGTTAAAAATAGTTTATTTTATACATTATATCCTCCAATAGCATAGAGTTTGTTGGCCATGACTGCCACACCAACTCTTGACCTCAACATTGTCATTGCTTCTGCCATTTTCCATATATTTGTCTGTGGATTAAATACTTCAACAGTACTCAATGAATCACCATTTTTTGTAAGACCTCCGACAGCATAAATGAGACCTTGAATATCATTACAACAGCGAACCCGAGTTCGGAAACTTTGTAAAAGTTGTCTCCTCTGAGGCATTAAATGATAATCTTTAGCCTCGTCTACCAAATCACGGCAAGCATGAGATGAACGGATAAGTTCTTCTGTAATAACATAGTCGGCCACAAATTCAGGCGATAGTAGAGGTAACCTTACATTTGTTAAAAGATTCGGCAAATGTGGTGCTCGTGTATTGTAGTCTTTCTTAACCCAACACATGACTGAATTGAAGACATCCTCTTCGCCGCCAACATTAAGTTCATCTTTGCTAATGATATCAATAATTTCGCTCAAATCTAAGCCCAAAAACTCATCAGACTTAGAGACTTCTTTAAAATGTTTTTGTATAAACTTTTTGGACGCCTCGACCAGAGTATCACAACTGAGTGAATCCGCAAATGATTTGACACCCAAAACATTGTTTGTATTTAATCGTATCTTCAGATATTCACAACAGGCGTCCCTAACAGTAAACAATTGCAAAAAAGATGCACCGATTAGTAGCGACTGAACGTTAGATGTTGTTATGACAATCCTTCCGGTGTATGCAAACTCAAGAAGTGCTTCCATAGCTAAGGCATCGATACTGTCCTGAATCTCGACCTCAGTTTGAGTGCTCTCTTTCATGTCATTTGTAAACATTGCATGAAAGTAACTGATCGGCAAAATAAAGACAAACTATAATATATATATATTTTAATTCAACAAATATTTTAATAATTATTATTACGGAACGGTAGCCGCGATAACAACCCGATGAGCCATAAATGACTTGTTGTCTACCTGTTTGATGGACACAAATAAATCAAATATTATGATAAAATAAAGATTGCGTTTTAAAAATGAAAAAATTGATAATCACTTTAATAGATATGTCACACAGTTTTTGACTCTTTCGGAGGACATCGAAGATGGGAAACGAATTGACAGACAAATCCTTTTGAACAAAACCATAGCATTCATCCGATAGTGAACTCAATTGATTGCACTCTTCTTCTAATTGCATCTATTATTACAAACACTTGTCATTATAACCACAAATATTTCATGTCTTCAAACATTTAGTATACAAACCATAACCGATGTAAAGACAGTGGTATTGCGATCGGTGTCCACGTAGTGGTGACCACCGATTATATCCCTTTGTTGTGCCATTCAATTGATTTAATGATTAATACATTATATCGTAAATAATGTTTTGTTTTGTTAAACAATTCAATAGTAAATATCATTTCATTTTAACGTTTGTTTACATTGAGTTCATTGATAACAACGTTGTCTACACTCTTATGGTTTGTTTATATACAACAGTACTATAGCTATGATAAATAAAACAGTATTTTATAAATATTATAATTATTATAAATATTTTGATTAATTTGAAGGCAATGTCACTGAAAGCACTGAAATTTAATAAATTAATATAATTATGTAGTAAAGCATACATTTAATAGAAAAGTGACCAATGTCATTGTTGTAGATATTAATATGATTAACAAAATTGTCATTGGTCATTTTTATATTAGATCAATAATTGACCAGATAATTGTAGTCAACAATTAACTTTCATTTTTAACCTATTCATCAATTATCTGGTCAACGATTGATTTAATATAAAAATGATCAATGACAATTTTGTTAAGCATATTAATATCTACAACAATGCCATTGGAAACTTTTCTATTAAATATATGGTTTGCCAATAATAATAAAATTAGCAAATTATTATATTTGTTAGTTGTAAATAAATTGTAAATATTAGACAATCTGTATGTATGATAAAATACATGTATACTTAAAAGTCATTATAATTTATAACATTAATAAAGTAATACTTAAATTTATGTTTGAATTTCTACTGTATTACATATAAAAGTGTAAATGTAATATTTATGATAAATTAATATCAATTAACTGTCGTTATTATTATTGCAATTAATTTATTAAACTACTGGTAATTTATCACTAATATTGCACTTTAATGTAAATTATATCATATCTTAAATTTGGTCTCTCTTTGTATATCTAAAAATCTATAGTCCTTTAAAATTAAAAACAATTAATTAAAACACTTTATATGATAAACTGAATAAAAAAACTGAATAATTAATTTATTTCGGATAAATTAAAATATCAAATATTTAAAGATATAATTTTTGCTAAAGTTATCTTATTAAATAAACTATAATACAGTACATTTTATTTATTATTTTATAATAAACATTTAATAATAATTATTAATAATTAATTAATAAATATAATTATAAAGTTTTTTTAATGTAGAATCTGTTTAGTATTTAATCAGATTTAATCATAATTAGTAATAAATAATTAATAAACTTTTAATTAATTTTTACAAACTTATTATCAGTTATACACTAATTTTCTTGACGTAATTGATGACCAAAACTATTGTTTACAAATAAAGGTCGCAAAAGCAGTGAAGCATTGATTCAAACAAATAGTTAAATAAATCTCTATTTCATTGAAAATAATTGACAACTTGTTTGACAAATGAATCAATTAATTGATAATTAAATCAATCGATTGACAACTTATAGTACATGTGATGAATGTTTGCATTGAATTGAGAGCACAATCACTGAACAATCAACACATGATTTGCAAAATACAGACCAATTAAGACATTACTGGACATGGATTTCAAATCATCGAAGAATAATTTATTGGTCAGAAAGAGACCAGAAATAGCTTTATATAAGCCGGGAATGGGAAAGATTTTGACCAAAAAAGGCGATATCAATGATACCATTAATGGTAAGACCACTTCGACATCAATTAACTAATTATTAACTAATTTTTATTTGTGTCCATTCAGTTCATATTAATAAACAAGACATGGATGAAGAGATAAAGTCAGACACGATTAGCTCTAAGAGTCAAAATTATCAGCAAATTGACAACAAAGAAGTGAAGTCTAACGCCAATAACAATAAGACAATTACTAAGAAACCCGATATCAAAGTGTATGTTCCGCCCAAACTTAGTACTGGACAACAATCACTGTCACTGAGCGGTTCCACTGAACCACAAGACAAAACTCAATTAAGTAGTAAATCATCGGACAAGAGTTCAAAAGGCAAACATAGTGTTCATATTAGTGAAAATAATAATAATAACAATCAATATAACCAAAAATCAGGTTTGRATTAGTGATTGGTATCTTTAAATGAATTGATAATTGTATAATGTTTTTGATTTTATAGGAAATAGTAGACAAAAATCAGAACGATATGATAGACAAGAGAAGAATGAAAGACGTGATCGTAGAGACAATAGAAGATCTGATCGAAACCAAAGACATAATTCCAGCGGTAGTGCAAAACAAGACAAACAGATGCATGAAATTGATATGAAATCAGATGAAACACAAAGGTTYGATAAACAACAAAGAAGTGGTAAAACAGATAAAATTGATAAAAAAGATCGAAACGAAAAAATTGAAGAAAGAACTGATAGAAGATCACAACTGGTCAGCCAAATGAAGAATAAAGCTATTGATAGAGTTAGTCGTGACAATCAAAATACTGAAAACATTAAACAACATATTGTCCATAAAGAAGAAAATARTAAAACTAAATTAATTGAACCGAAATTAAGTGAAAATTATTTTGAAAAATCTAATATTGAGAGATATGAAAATTATGACGATTACTATAATGTGGACATTATCTCAAGTTATACAAAAGTTACCGAAAAAGATAATCATAAGCGCCATAATAATAATAATATTAATAATAATAATAATCGTAACAACAATCATTCAAGTGGTCATTCAAGTTGTGAATCCAATCGAAATCAAAATGAGATAAAACGTGAAAAGTCTTTGCGTGGAAAACAAGATTCAAATAATAATAAGAGAAATACATTTAATAATAAATCCCAACCGAATCACAGATACAATAAGACATACGAACAGCAGATTCCGCCGCGATTTCTCAAACAACAACAACTAAAAAAGGTATTTATTTATTGTTTAGTTTGTGCGCGACTTTTATCACATTTATTTTCAGTTTATTATTTACCGATAATTTATTTTTAAAAATATATACTATTAGATGAATTTTGTTTATAAAATATCAGTAAATAAAAAAAAATATATATTGAAAATATGTTGACATTTTTTAATTGTCAAATAAATTGGAAATAAAATGCACAGAATTACAACTCTTATATTTGTTAATAAATTACACATAAATATTGTAAAGAATTTTGTGTTAATTAAATTCTAAAAGTTATTTAATTTTAAATACAAGAAATTATGTTTTAATAATTTATTGTAATCTATTTGATTGATAGCAAAATGAAATTTCAGAGCAAATGCAACCACAAGAAGAGAAAAGTTGTTACGAAAATCAACGAAGAGAGTCATTAAAAGAGGAACAATTGCAGACATCGACTTCTAGATCTCCTCCACAAAGAGGTCTGATTCGATTGCCTACAAATCAAGTGAATCCAAACGATTGGGCACAACAACAGCAACTGTCCGCTGTTAGTCAAATACCACATCAAAACCGAAATATCATTTCAAACAAACCCTGTGTTGCCATACGTCCCACACAACACGTGTCAGTTGACAAAAATCCGTCACAATATTCTCCTTCATCGAGTCCAGACACGAATTCACTGTCCACAGCAACAGACAATTATCACCAATTGTCACCATATGTGAGAAACAATTACAGTGAATATTCTATTCCACACTTTATGTCCACGACTTCAGTAGAAAATAATGAAAGCTTTAGGAAACGGTTAAAACCAATAATCGAAAAAAGTCTTAACGAAGCGACAGCAGCTGAAACTGATCTTTCCGTTTGTCACGACCCGCAAAAAATGGAACCAATTCGCTACAGAATTCAATTACGTTATGAACACATCATTTTGAATGATTTACGAGTTTGTGCTGAAACTAATATTGAACAGAGATTATGGAAATCTGCGTTTTATCAGTTTATTGAACACTATCGACGTCTTATGGAACAAAATACCGATCAACAGACAGAACTTAAGACATGTCTTCATAAGATTATAGATGAGGCCTCACTATTCTTCGAGAATCTATTGGCTAAAATGCAAGAAACATATGACTTCACTATTGAGAAACTGTTGGCTCACGAATACGATTCTGATTCAGAAAATTATGAGACAATAAAATTGGCGTCCATTTCGGCCCAAAAGATATATTTATATTTAGGTGATCTTTCGAGATATAGAGAATGCGAAACTAAAAATTCAAAATTTGTTAAAAGCAAATTGTATGAGACATTTATTATTATACTTTTTTAAGTATTGGTGATAAATCTGATGATATATTTTGTTATTTTTTTGACAGCTTTTACTTAAGGGCACAAATGTTAGCGCCGAAGAACGGCCGCAGCTATAATCAGTTGGCATTACTAGCTATGTATCAAAACAGGCGATTAGATGCTGTCTATTACTATATGAGAAGTTTGGCCGCAAGTAATCCTTTTTTGACGGCCAGAGAAAATTTGTTGACCATATTTGATGAATGCCGACGAAAGGTTTATAATTATAAATAACTGTAAAAATATTTTAAATTGTTTTTTAATAATTAATTATTAGTATGAATTAAATGAAAAGAAACGAAATCAAGATTTATTGAGTCAAAAGAAACGAATCCAACAAGAATTGGATGGTTTGGGCGCTCATAAGGAAAGGCTTGAGATTTGGATTAGAAATGATGGCAAGTCTGACGTTTGCTCGAACTTCAGACAATTACTTGAAACAGATTCAGAAACAGTTAAAGAAAACTTGGATACACTTTCATCTGTTGATGTATTATATCTTTAAATGTTTTGATTTAAAAAAGTTTTAATATGTTTTTATTTTATAAATTTTATTATTTAATTTAGTTAAACAAGAGATTTGTGTTAAGTTTTCTACACACTCACGGAAAGTTGTTTTCAAGAGTTGGGTATGTATTGAAAATAATATTTTTTAACACAATTATGAAAATTATGGGAATATTTACTGAATAGTATGGAAACGTTTATTCCTGTTGTGAATCAAATGTTAGCTGAGTTCCAATCATTACTTCGTCGTTCACCAATACCTGTAATGTCTCAACGATTGTCACAACTATTGGCAATCAATATGTTTGCTGTGTTTAACACATCACTTAAAGACACGACTTATGGACAAAATTGTCGATCACTACTACAAGAACAGGCAATTCAAGTGACATTAGCTATGATGTCATTAATACTCGAATGCGCTATAAATTTGTTAAAAACACAAAATGCAAACGAAAACAAAACCGAAACACTTAGTGATGACTTAACAGAATTATTGCCAACAATTAAAATATGGACGGATTGGATGTCCTGTCAAAAGCAATTATGGTGTCCACCGCCTCCTTCATCTGATTTTAAGTTAGTTTAATAGATATTAGTTTAATACCTACCGAATAATTATAACAATTGTAACACAATTATTATATTTTAGTGTTTCGAGTGATATTTGGAGTATTTTTGCCGAATTTTTAACATTACTAACAAAAGTGAATATAAAAAGTGTTAAATTATTTGGTAGTAAATTGGATGGATGTGAACCCATTATACTTCCTGAAGATACATCTTTAGCTGGATTTCTACCACTTCTTGGTTCACCTCAATGCGTACAATACGCTCAACCAAATTATGATAAAGTATTTAAATTATTTGTTTTGAAAATTTAAGATAATTTTAATTTACAATAATTTATTGAATTTTGAAAATAGGAAAAAGCAAAAACCTGTCTGCGTTTAACAGCAATTCAATATTTTGGTGATTATTTGTGTGGCATTGTTGAACCATATCTTAAATATGATGTCGAAAACAAAAGATTTGTATCACTTATTCAAACTTCAGCTCTAATGACTTCAGAAGAGAAGATAACTAAACCAATCGACGATTTAGATGTGATATTACTTATTATTCAATGCATTATTTTATTTATTTTTTCAAATTATTTGTTTTACTAATTATTATAAATAGTCTGAACCAGAAAATGATGAATTTACTAACGAGATATCATCTGAAGAAACTCTTAATAGTGACAATACTTGTATGAGTGATGAAAGTTTGAAAAGTCCGGATCAGATTGAGATCGAAAAATTGTGGTCACTTCAAGAGAAACTCAAGAAAACCAAAGATAGACAAGAAGTTCTTAAGCAAACAGTCGATGTAAGTGTTTGTCAACATATTTACCATAACTTTAAAAACCGTAAATTTTAGCAAATATTAATCAAATTATTTTTTAAAGGCTGTATTGAATGAAGTGAACCAAAGAAAACAGTCTCGTATTGTAATACAACCCCGATATATAATACCGGATACCAACTGCTATATCGATCATTTGGATAAAATTAAGCGCATTATAAATACTAAATTTTATGATCTAATTGTCCCACTCATTGGTATGACATATCTATCTATAGTTTTATAATTATTAATAATTTTTTACTATTATCTCAACAGTAATTAACGAATTAAATGGACTTAAAACTCGTGGAATAAAGATTATGAAACCATTGACTTTTAGTAGTGATCACTCGGGAGTTGTAGCAAAAGCAGCGATGGATGCCATCGACTATTTAGTGATTGCTTTTAATGACAAAAGTTTACGTTTGAGAGCAATCACATCAAAAGGATCTATTCTCGATTCAATCAATTTCATCAGCGAATCCATTACTGATTCACAGGTTTTTAAAATATTTTATTGTTATTAAAAGATATTGATATTAATATTCTGTCATTTTTAGGGCTGTTCTAATGATGACCTAATTTTAAGTGCGTGCCATCATTTTATTAAAGAGAAAACAAATGATAATACAATTAAAGAAAATGTATTGATTTCAGGTATTGTTTTTCTAAAGCATTTTATTTTTGTTTTATTTTTATATTACCGGTAATTATAATTTTTTACAGAAGAAGTCAACAGTTTGTTTCGAGAAGTGGTTCTTCTGACTGATGACCGAAATTTAAGAGTTAAAGCGTTAGGACATAACGTTCCGGTCAAAGGTGTCCAACAATTTGTCAAATGGGCCAACATTTATATGGTTAACAAACGTGTTTTGTAATGTATGCTTTACATGTACTAAACGTTAAGCACATACACTGATCTAAAGGACGACAATTGGTTATTACTATATCTCAGTTAATTAGCGATTACTTGATTGTGTTATAGTTAAAGTGTTAATGTTGTCAAATAAATTAATCGTCAATTAGGTACACATTTGAAAAAGAAAAATTATGGCTTAATTTCTCATTTACTATAAATACTTTTAAGTGCTTTTTTAAGTATCGGTAATTGATATTTATTAATGATTAATATACCGTATATTGAAATTCTTATATTGAAAATGAACAACACTTTTGTGTACACTTTAATAGTAAACTAGAAAATCGTGTCTTACAAGTAACAAGAAATTTGTTTAAATTTTTCATATAATTATAATTACAATTCTATGTATTTTAATTGTATTCTATTGTTAATTAATCTATACTATAGTCTATAAATAATAATTATTTATTACTGTATTATTAATCTAATATTTTTTATTAAATTTTCGCAATCTTGTTTTTATCGATTTTACAATAACTTTTAAATACATATTTATTTGTAATGTATTAAATCATTGAATCAATTAATTTGTATTTATTAAGCATTTATTACACTGTAATAATAATAATCATTTAAATAAATAAAATTGAAAACTATACAAATTATTAAATTAATATATTTAAAAAATAGTATAATTATGAAGACAATAATTTCTATGAATTAATATTATTGTAAATTATATACAGTACGACACACGCACTTAATCCGAGATCTTATAAAGAGAGACTACAGTACTTAAGTTATAATTATTTTAACCGTAATTTTATTAAATCAAACAAATAAAAAGTTTAATACAAATAAATAGCAAAACATGATTGACATAAAAATTCTATGATTTTGTATATACAGTATATCTTATGTAAAATATATAAAATTATAAATCGATATAAATATTAGATTTAATTGATTTTAAGAAATAAGATTCCATTGTTTGCTTTCATCTGAATTGCATAACGACATTATCACATATTCTCCACTTGACTCGTGACGGACACCCAAACACATACCGCCCGCTATTGAATATATTGCAGTGTTTTTCTTAAAAAATAAAATTATTTCATTAACTCAATTCAGTAATAAATTATTATTATATCAGAAAAATACTTTTGTTGAATGTTTCCAGTCCTGAGTGCCACCCATTTCGTGACATTTGGATAAATGTGGATTTTTGTCGTCCGCTTCTAAACATAACTTTTGTCCTAATCTTAAGTCATGTTTTACTGTTTCGTACCATAACTTTAATTAAATAATAAATAAATAAAATTATATTTATAAACCAATTTATAAGTGATTATAATTTATAACAAACCTGTCGACGAATTTTAGCACATTTTTGAAGCAACATTTTCGACCCTTTGTATGATACTTCAGATTCGGATTCAATGCACAAATTAGTTCCCGAGAGTTGAATTAAGTACTTATCGACAACTTTTGGTGTTTTCCTTAATAGAGCCGACTTTCCCTTTACATGCTTTGATAATTTTGCTTTAATTGCTTTCTTTCTCTCTTTAAGATTGTCTTGAGGTGACGGTAGCCTTAGCTCTGGGTATACATTATTCAGGTACCACTCAAAAGACTTGCAATTTAGTCGTTGTCTTAACTTAAATCTATTGCTAATATCACCATAAGATTTGTTACTGGCATCTGGTCTTTGCATAAAAAAGAATTTCTATTGAAAAAATTAAAAATAAAATTATAATTTAAAAAATATAGACTATTATTAATATCACTTTGTAATCATCCATCCAGACATGAGCCACACGTAAGGAGTTGTATGTTAAGGTGTCCTCACCAGTAGGTGACCCATAAGGTCGCCTTTGTCTAAACACGTGTCCCACACGAGAACAGGGAATTATTTCAAGTGTTCCGCCACACATCCAAATCTTTTACAAATAACATAAATTATAAGTAACGGTAATTTATATATTTAAAAATTATAAATTGAGACAAACCCTAAAAGATATTTCAAGATTCTCTCCACCCCTAAAACAATCAATAATTAATAATATCAATAATAAATGGTAATAACTATAATCATAAGTTAAATAAATTACCAAATATCCATTCCTCTATCATATTCTCCCATTTCATAGAAATAGTTGCGATCGATGGCGAACAGTCCGCCAGCCATTGTTGGAGACCTATGTAGTCAACAATTTATAAAATTCATTATATATAAGCAATATATAAATACCGGTAATTAAATTAAATTTTAATATTTACGGAATTGGTTTTATAAAATCGCTTTTCTCTAAAAGTTTATTGTGCGGCACTGAATCCCATTTAAAATGCAATCCCCTAAACAAACATTTTAAAATTTACCGGTAATGATAAAATTACAGTAATATTAGAGATAACAAACCAATTAAAGCCTCCCTTTACTATAGGAGAGGCTGTATATTCAAAAGTGTTGGCATTTATAATGTCAATGATTGGACAAACAATTGTTGTCTTGTTTTGATGAATACGGGATAGAAGTGGTGGCAACCAATCGGTATTCACTTCGCAATGACTGTCAAGAAAAACCATTGTTTGTCCGGTGCTGTGATACGCGCCATACATACGGGCTCTGATAAGACCAGCTCTTTCTGGAGTTCGGATTAGTTTGACTTTATTAGGTAACTCTTTATCCACAAAATCTCTTAATTTATCTTTAATGTAAGCTTTTTATAAAAATTAATAAATTAATATTACATTTCATCTTTATATTCAATTAATGAATACCATCGTCACTAAAGTCATCGACAAGTAGTATCTCATGAAGAATTCTATGATCGGTGCGCTCGAGAACACTGTAAACGGTTCTCAATAAAGTCGTAAAATCTTCATTGAAAAAGCAGATAATGACCGAAGCGATCGGTAAATCACTTAACGGAATATACGGTTGACTTGTTTGGCACAAAGGGTTTCTCGTGTCGGGAATCGGTCGATGAAAACCAATTCTGGAACTAATCAATACATTAAAGGCGTGCTTCTTATAGCCGACATCTTTGATACGTTTGTCTTCTTTGTTGTTAATAATACCCAAACCAACCAAATCCATGCTATTGTCCATCGATTGTAAACCTGTGTTATGCCATTTGATATCTAATTGATGGTCAATCTCATCGTCGACCGGATTATCGTTTATTAGATTAGACTTAATTTCTTTGGTTCTTAAGATTTTTAACTGATTTAAGTCATTAAACTGTGATTTCAGTCGAGATATTATACGATGTCTTTCTGGAAGTCTCTGTACATAGTTTGGCATCAATGGGTTCTTCGTGTTAATTGAGATATCATTGAAACCATTTCTTAAGACATAGAAGTAGATAATCAAAAGCCAGACAATGGATGTGATTATAATACCGAAGAAAAATGAATTCAAACGTAACATGTCTTTCAAATCAAGTGATAATCCATGTCTTTGATTATACTCTCATGTCTTACTGTTTTGTAAACAATTGTCACCAATAAGTGTCAATAATTTGGTTGTCATGTCTTGACATAACTTATATCAATAAATCAATTCATTTAATAACAAACAGTATTCAAGACATTAATTAATTATAAGTTATCTTTTGAAGTGATTTTGTGTCTAAAAACTAATAACAATTTTCACCACATTTTTGACAACAAATCAAAATAATAAACGATTCAATAGTTTGTTTGGATATTCATATCAATTGATTAATAATTAATTAATCAATTCATTGATTAAGTGTCACAACAAATGATAATTAATTTCATGTTTTGTTGTCAACAGTAATGTTGTTATTATTGTTGTGAATGTGTTGTTGACATACAATACCTCAACACTAAGTCATACCCTATTTGTATGTATAGTATGTAGTCTACAGTCTGTCTGTCATATAATATGATAATTCTTTCATCAATTAATGCATTAGTTATTAATAGAGACTTCAAAATATAATATATAATATTTCTTTAAATATTAAATATATGGTCGATATTTCTAATATTTAATAAAATGTCAAAATAAGTGCTTATTTTTTTTAAAAAAATTAATTATAATTTGTATATATTTTAGTGGTATATTATTAATAATTAATTTTGAGACATTATTTTTATAATATAATAATCATAATATAGTATATAATATTTTATCAAATAATTTATTTTTCGTTGTTAAGCACTTTTTGCAAATATTTACTAATTTTGCATAAAAATGGATATTTTATACATTTTAAAAATATATATTTTTGTAAAAAATGTAGTAATATGTTTTGAAAATTTGTCAATCGGTTTCTTATTATATTATTAGGATAGATATCGATTATCTGAGTCAATATATTTAACCCAACAAATATGTGTTTCACATATTTTGATGTCTCTAGTTATTACTAAAGCATTTAAATTTATTTCACATAAAATTTATATTTTTAGTGATAAGAGATGCAGTATTAGTCTAATAATTAAATAATAATATATATATTATATATATTATATATATTATATATATTATATATATTATATATATTATATATATTATATATATTATATATATTATATATATTATATATATTATATATATTATATATATTATATATATTATATATATTATATATATTATATATATTATATATATTATATATATTAATGTTCAAAATTCACATTAGAATAACATTTTTAATATTTTAAAGCAAATATTTTTTTCAACAAAAATCTAATTTTAGTCACAAATATCTAAAGTAACTCTTTATTACTAAATCACTATCAAAAGTATCTAAAACGAGAATAACTGAATATTCGTGTAAATAATATTATAATTTTTTAATAAAATCATATTTTTATTTATCTATTTTTCTAATACAGGTATTTACACTGTAATTCACCAACAAAAGGACAGTTGCGACTTTTAGAGACATACAGTAAGATCTCAAATGAAAGCAATATTATATTTATTATAAACTGTATATTTGTTTTAAAAAATCAAAAAATAAAAATTTATTAGTATTTATAACACGTTTTATATAAAGCGAAAACAAAATCAAAATTATTTGTTTCAATTCAACAATTAATTCAATTTTGATTAAATAGTAATAACAACTAAAACATCAAATATTATGAGTTCGGGTAAATCACCGATAAGTGAATCCGATAGGATTACAGCCGCGCGTAACCATTCAGGTAATGATTAATTGATTGTTGAATACATTGTTGATTATAAATGATAAACTAATTGCAGACAACTTGTATTGGTTAGCAGATTCATTGGCTAATTCATCGCGAGTGATGCCAACTGTGCCGTCATCTCCAACAGTATCTGTTCACTTGGCTCTACCACTAACTCATGAGTCAACACATGCATCGCAACGTAATCCATATATGAGATCTATCAAAATGTCTTCAATTGATAATAGTATGTATCATTACATTGATTATTAGTTATAACAAATTTATATTTATATTTATTATTATAATTAAATAAATTAATTATATTATAAATAATTAAATGAATATTAAAATGCATTCATTTATGCGATATTGAAAACATTGAAAACATTGAAAACATTGAAAACATTGAAAACATTGAAAACATTGAAAACATTGAAAACATTGAAAACATTGAAAACATTGAAAACATTGAAAACATTGAAAACATTGAAAACATTGAAAACATTGAAAACATTGAATCACGTTATTATTCAACACAAATCCGACAACAATGTGTAAAACTGTATTACGAGTTGCGAAGTTATCGAAAAACAGAAGACGCATTTAAATTATTATATCCTAATTTGCCCCGCCATCCGGGTCGAAATGACATCAATCGATATGTAAAAGCGTTTGAGAAAAGAGGGACAGTAGAGAATGAAAAATACACTCGTAAACCAACAGCAACAACACCTGAAATGACTGATAGAGTATTATCTGAATATACCACAAATCCTATCCAACCACCAATAAGAGTAGCAAAAAATTTTGGTATATCTCAAAGCTCAGTACGACGAATTTTGAAAAAAGCTAAATATCATCCATATAAATTGCAAACAGTTCAACCAATATCTGAAGTGGACATGGAAAAAAGATTTGATTTTGCAAATGAAATGCTTATACGATATGAAGATAAAAAAGAAGGCGATGAAAATTTTCCATCAAAGTTGTGTATTTGGGACGAAAAAGAATTTAAAATTAATGAAAAACCGAATAATCAAAATTATCGTTTGTACGCAAAATTTGGAAGCAAACCAGTATTTAACAGAGCGTTAAATAATCAAAATGCAGCAAAAGTAATGGTTCTTGGTGGTGTTTGGGGAGACCGAATTTTAGGACCATACTTTTTTGATAAAAATGTATCTGGTGTTACATTTACGAAAATTCTTGAAGATCAAGTTTGGCCGGATATTATGAATCAGCCCGATAGCAATGATGTAATATTTTTACTTGACGGAGCAAGCCCACATTACAGCTGTCTTTCACGTGAATGGCTTGACAATCATTTACCAAACAGATGGATTGGCCGTGGTTCAACATTAGTTGAATGGCCTGCAAGATCTCCAGATGTAACACCAATGGACTTTAATATCTGGGGTTATATTCATGATATCGTGGCTTTAAAAAATGTTCAAACTGTGGATGAATTAAAAAACGTAATAACATTTGCCTTCACATGTGTTTCAAAAGTTCATTGTGCTAACGTACGCGAAAATATGATCAAACGATGGCGTTATCTCATCACATGTGATGGTGGTCACATTGAACCTTATTTATAATTTAATGTAAGTTTTTTTTATTTTTTATTTAAATTATTGATAATTATGACTATCACTAATGTTGATGTAATTTGTGATGAACAGGTATGTTGGCAATGGATGATGGGGGTCGATGTCTACTTGATGTTATCGATGACCCTAAGCTATTGCAGTCGTTTCTGGAGAACACTAACGTTGCCATTGAACGACTCGAGACCGGTGTGAATGTCAACCAAAGCGGAGATAAGACATTGAATTCAATCAAACAGCCGATCGACTCAAAAATCCTGTCCAACATATCGATGAGTGCTATCAATTCAGACATTTCCAAGAACTCTGTTTACGTGACCAGTTCTGGAGACAATGGGTTGTCTCTGACGAGTATCAATAATAACAGAAAAATAATTTCTGGTCAGATAATGATTGACGAAAAGCCGACGATAAACATGGTTTCATCATCTGTTGATTATATACCAATCAGCAGTTTTTCCAGTGCCGTCACCGCTGCCTACTTATCAATAGCACCATCAATGACGAATATGACCAACACTGTTGGCCATTTGACATCAACATTACCATTGCCTACATATACTCCAAATATAATGCCATCCTTTCAAATAGCTGGTCCTCGCAATGGTGGACCACTTAAGGTACAATATTCACAACAATTGATAGTACAGGCGGGTGCCGTCCAAATGACACAAACCCTTGGTTTACAACAAATGTTTTTAACAACACCGCGTTCGAGCACCTCATCCAGCATTACCACCTGGTATACAACCGGGACAATTGGTACAAATAATACATACACCAAATGGTTCACAAATACTACCGAACAATCTGACGGCGACCATACAATTGATTGTCAACACAAATAGTACAACAACACAGCAAGAAAAAAATGATGCGTTTATTCAGTTTTATGCCATTTGAGACATCCTTAAACACTTTTTTATAAAAATTGTATACAGATATCTACACTTTTTATCTGCACTTTTTTAATAATAAAATGTATGCATATATCTACACTTTTATGTCATACACTTTGTTAATAAACAAATGCATAGATCTACACACATGCGTAAAACACTTTTCATATATCTATATAAAAAAGTGCAGATATCTGCACAATTAAAACCAAAATTACATATTAATGCATAGCCTATAATAAATTTATGTATAATAATGTATTTATTTATTCATATTTATAAATAAAAAAAGTATTTTTATGTAAAAATTTAATAATAAAATTTATTTTAATGCACTTTTTTTATTTATTTTTATACATTTAAAAAATTATAAAAATACCCAAAATTTATAATTATATTAATTATTATACAGTATTTTTTCATATAAATACATTATTTATATACATATAAATACATAAAATAAAAAGTTATATTCATTATAATACAGTTTTACAGCAATCACCGTTTGTAATCACTAAACCTGTTTTGGACTTCATTTCTTCTTTCAATAAACTCTCTTCGGTTCCGTTTTTAGCCGTCAAAGTCTGCGATAAATGTCATCATTTTGCTTAAATCTGTAATAAATTATAAAAAGTTAAAATAAATGCAAACATTTATAAAATAATACATTAACTTACTTTTATTTAAAAGAGATGTTTTGTCTATTTTGAGATATAATTTTAGCCGATTTTCATATATTATGTGCAATGTTTTTAAAGACATTCCATAGCGATGTTTAAACATTGCGTTAACCTTAAAACAAAAAATAATTAAATTAAAATGCTTGCATTTTAATAATATTACCTTTCATAAGTATATGAAATAGGATGTGATTTGAGATATCTATGAATCGGTTGCTTATCATATAAAGGAAAGTCAATGCCGTTCACTGTCAATGCATTTTTCTCAAATACTCCCAACAATTATCATTTGGACCAAACCATTGATTCATTGGCATATCATTTGATTCATTTTTGTTATCAATTGACTTTTCATTGTTTGTTTCAATTTCGAGTCCACTTTCTATGTCGATATTGTTTTCTTCGTAATCAACAAAAAAAAACAATCATCTGATGATTCATCTGAAGATTGATCAGAAGATATATCAATTATATCATCAAAATGATGCCATTGTATTGAGTATATGGCATATGGTATGAAATAATTACATTTAATACAAATGCCTGCAAATGACGAAATAAATAAAAAAATACTGTTCACAAAATAACGTGACAATAAATGCTGGCATTTATTGTCACGTTATTTTGAACAGCTCTGCACAAAAATTTTTAAAAACTGCAGATTTATGAATTTACATAGTAATACATAAAATTGAGCTCATTATGCATTAAAGTGTTTATTTTTTGTGCAGTTTTATGTAAAACAACATTTTTAAATATTCAGTTAAATGAAAATCACTTTTTATACATAAAATTATTTTTTTATTCAGTTTTATGAATCCTAAAATTTTCGATTTTTTGCTGTGAAAGTTATCGACGAAATCGAGTTTTTCGCGATCTAATAAACAAATATTACCGAAACCTATAGGTTCCACAACTTGCTAACCATTTTGCCAAAAATATTAAAAATTTATTTTAATATTTAATATTTTTTTAATGCTAATAATTCTGGTCAATTTTAGTCATTTCTTATAATTAAAGTTTATAAATATAAAATTATATTACATTTTTTAATTAAATTAATTATAAAAATAAATTTTTTAATTGCAATAATAATAAAAAAAAAATTAAATTATTAAATATGTTTAATATTTTATTTTTTATTATTAAATTTGTTTTTTTGTTATATTATATTTAGTTATATATAATTTTGTTATACTGTATTATGTTATACTTATTACGTCACTGTCCTTTTGTTGGTGAATTACAGTGTATAAACCAATTAAACATAACATATATAATAGAAATCTTATGCATTTTATATATTTATATAATATTTATAGTATTATTAATAAAATATGTTATTGTATTATTTTTTAAAATAAATCATTACTAATAAATGTTACATATAATAAATTATTATTAATAATAATCATTACATATCTCATAAATGTTTATAATCATAGATTAGTATTTATTTAGTTATTTAAATATTAAATGGATAATATCTAAAGATTATTTTCAATTTTTATATAAATAATAATAGTTATATAATTAAAGCTAAAGTAATATCATATAAATTATTTTAACTCAACAATAATTGTTAAACTTTATGCTTAGTAATTGAAATCTTGTCATTAGTTTTAGTTAAGTGTTTGTCGACTTTAACTGTATTTTGTGTTAAAACATTGTTTAGTATGTTTAGTATGAGTTAGTTGTTTGTGTGGATCACTAATTGGTTGTAATAAATGTGTATTTCCTTGAGTTTGTCTAAACATTTGATGCGTTGCTTCTATAATCTCCGGCTTATAAGTAAAAGTAGCGGCGATTGAGAAACATATAACATAAATAATACCTACAATTGCTATAACTATTATCCAGGTTTTAGTTGATTTTCGATGAACTGTCTCATTCAATGATCTTAATGTCGATGAACTTATTGACGGACTTATAGATGAACTATTTGATGGACTTTTTGGTTTAGTCATCGATGGTGTTATTAATGGTCTATTGGTTGTACTTATTGATGAAGTCGTGTTTAAAGTATTATTAATAATATCTGTTTGATTATTGATATGTTTTACAGTACTTTTAAAAGAAAAAGTACTAATAGTTGTCATATAATTGTTGCTAATTTGTTGAGTAATTGAACTGCTATTAGATAAACAATAAGTTATTTTGTTTAATGATATCAAAATCATTAACATTTTGAGATATAAAAACATTTTGGATTTGTGTCTTATTTCTAAAAACTTTATGCAAATATATTTGAAATTATTGATATAATTATAAAATATAAATTGTTTCATAAAAGCTCACGACTTACTAAAAAAAATATTGTTAAAAATTAATAAATAATTAAATTGTTAATTTATAAGTTTTAACAATTTAATTTTCTATAAATTATATTTATTTAATACAATATTTTATATAAAATGAAATCAATATAAAAATATAAGTTATTTGCATTCAAATTCAAAGTTTGTGTAAATTAAATGTTTGATTGAATCAAAATATTGATTAATAGGACATTGAATTCTGTTGTGACAATTGGTTAACGCAATTGAATGCAAACATTCACTATAACTATCATTTATATAATAGACTTTTAAAAAGTATTGATCACTAAAACCATTGAATTTATAAATATTTTCGTGTAATTCAAATATCATTGTCGACCCAAACGGCACTAAATTTTGATTAAATATATTTAACGAATGCATTAAATCATTAATGACTCTGTCGTGAGTTGAATACACAAACAATTTTTTGACAATCAGTTGATTGCCAATCAATTTAAGTATATTTTTCATTAATTCTTTGATTAGACCGCCGGCTCTTAACCTCAATATGAGAGGACTGTCGCCAACGAGTCTGTATGACATCAAATGGCTTTCATAGAGTTGTCTAACAACGCGTTGTTCTTCACCTTTAGTCCAGATATGAGTCCAATAAAAACCAGAATTGATTTCAATATCAAGTGTTGAATGAAGTGTTTTAGCCTTTTTTATGCAATCAATTTTGTGGCCAACAATTGGACTCAAATACTCATAGAAATCATTCATCGATTCAACAAATTTCTGCACTTTTAGTGAATTATATATTCTTTGTAACTCTCTTTCAACGATTGGACATCTTTTGTCTCTATTGAGAACAATGTCTTCTGATTTTGGTATAAATGTTTGCACTGGAATTGGTTGCCATATATTTCCTAATTGAGACTTTGATCCATTACTCCACTTTAAAATCGATGATTTTGGTGGATAAACGCCTGACATTAAACACTGGACACTCTCGACACACCTTTCGCTTATAGAACTGCGGACATAGACATCGCGTGGGGAATAACTATGGCCTAAGAATCTATGATAACGTTTTCGTATGAATTTTCCCAATCTATACATCCGTTGTTTACCTTTTGCTGTCAGTCCACCGATTCCTTCCTTCCAGAAGTGCTGTCCTTTAAACGGATCGTTTGGCGAAAATTCTAACGGATTTCTATCTCCGTGTCTGTGAACTAATTGAACTAATCTTAATGTAGACATATCTTCAGTACTTCTATAAAATAAGGTTAAACTATCTGTCATTAAACAAACTATTGTTATCACATATAAGACAGTTCTCAAGTTTTTATATTTTGTGTTAAACATTAGATAAAAATAAAAATTATTTTAAATTGAAATTATTCCAGTATTTTATAATTTGATTATTGTTGCTATTAAATATTAATTATTGTCTTATATTATTAGATTTTTCTATTGTTAATTATAATTAGATTATTATTTTTATGGCAGTATTTATTTGGTAATACTGTATAATATTCACGTGAATTATATATTTAATATTAGAAATTCAGAGAAGAAATATAAATATTTAATTATAGATTAATTAATTAACTTTCTAAATAACATTACACTATATTTACTGATTGTCAATAAAATATACTTAAAGTTAAACTTATATTTTAAAATTTATTAAATATGCTTTAATAAAGTAATTAAAATATTATAATTATTAATGAATTACTAATTAGTCAAAATAATTGATTTAAAAATTTATTCAAACGATAATTTATTGTTTTACTTGTATTATGTAAATTTTGTACTATATTTTATTTATACAATTATAATTATTATTATAAATTATAAATATTATTATCATTAACTAAAAATTTGGCTATTTTTATGATGAAATTTTTTTACATCAATTAAATATTAGCTTTTCTTTGACAATATTAAAGTTAAGATTTATTTTGTTTTTGATTGAGTCCAACAAAATGCTGTGTAGATTGCGTTTGATTGAACTTTTCGATCGGTTGGCTATTAAAGTGGACAATCGGGACACAAAATATTGTATAATCCGTTTCAATAGCCGAATACCGGTTATGTTTTCCGGTATATTGACGTCAACTTTAATTCCGACCACTTTTTTAACATTCAAATCATTTAATACAACTCTTCCATACTTTTCTTCATTTATGTCAAACAAAACTTGTATTTGTTTTATCTAATATACAGTATTTGATTAAAAAAAAATAATGTTTAAAATTATTAATCTAATTAATTCATGTAATTCATCAAATCTAAGATCAATTGTAAAGTTAATACTCAACATTTAAGACAGCATTTTCTGAGAAATTATTGCCAAATAAATTATATATTTTCCAATTATATATTCCGTTGAGATCATCAAATGATACCATTATTTTATAATTAATAATATCTTCATCTAAATGATAACATATCGGTTGATCCAATATTTTGAAATTTTTATTCATTGTAAGTCTTCCCTTATCTAAAACTACTTTAAGTCCATCTCCTCTTTGAATTGGTCTTAATCTCAAAAAGTTTGGCACAAAACTACTTAAAATCCCTGTTATCTATTAGATACAAATCTATTGATTATTATAAAAAATTACAAAAAATAACAACAAATACCTTATTTTTAATAAGTTGTTCGTCTGTCAAACATTTTTGTCTATATTTAACTTCTTTGACATTCATATCAATTTCTGGCATTGAATTCATAACTGAATTCAATGGCATTTCATTTGACATAACATCGGAAACTATTGATGAAAATGTTGTAATTTTTGTTGAATCGATATGTAAGTCGATATTTCTTTTATTATAATTTTTAATATCATATTTAGTGATCTTTAGAAATAAAAATTAAAATACATAGATATTAAATTGTAATAAACAATTAATTTAAAATAAAATATAAAATAAACTTGCATAATTACTGGTTTAGCATTTACTAATAATGGTATAAATGATATTAAAAATATGTGATGTCTTAATCCTATTAATTTCATTTTGAATAAAAAATGAAAAAATCTGTTTAATGTTATAAAAGATAATTTTTGCAATTTATCAAATTATTGCATGACATTCATTATAAAATTTAACAAATAGTATAAATGTGTTATAAATGTCAAAGACTTTTATATACCTAATGACACAAATTTTAAGTCAATTCATTGATTAGATCATTGGTTTGATGTATATTCCGGACTAAATGACGATATTTTCCAATTCCTATACATTATATCCTTCCCATTAATGTGTCGCTTAAATCATACATTAATAGCTCACTGTTTTGTCTTTTTCTATGATTAAGTTTATAATTATTATTAATTATTGTCACTATTCTCTAGTATCAAAATAATAACACTAAAAACTACATTTGCTGAAAAAATTTACAATGATTAAATGATGCAATTAATTTAATAAATTATAATTAATAAAAGATTACATAAATGATTAAAATTATCAATAAATTAAATCTCTTACATTTTTCAGCCTTAAATTAAACGATAATATTAAATAAAAGTAACTTAAAATAATAGAATTGATATAATTTATGATTATTTTAAGGTTTAATTCTAATTTTTTGTTGAATACTTTCGAAAAAAACTTGTTTCATATTTCTGACAATTGAATCCATAGATCCATTGGCTATTGTGGTAGAAATTCTTGAGATTATATACTCTAACATAGGTCTCAAAAAATTGACATTTGTTATCTGTGGAGGAATATTAACATTTAYTTTTAAACCATCAATTTTGTTGACATATATATCATTGAGTCTAGGCTTATATCGATCCATTTCATTGACAACAAAATCAATTGTCATTTTCTTTATCTATAAATTTGTGTATTATATAAATCAATTTATAAATTATACACTTAATATAAATTTAAACTTAACTGTAATAAAAGCCGTTTCAGAGAAGTTATAACCAAATAAATTATAAACATTCCACTCATAAGAACCTAAAAGATCATTAAATTCAAGTTTTATTTCATATTTGTTTGTATTGTTTGTAAATTGTCTGCAAATGGGTTGATCCATAAGTTTGTAATTATTATTTATGTTAAGCTTTCCATTTGTTAATTTAATTTTTGTCAAGTTTCCCCTATTAATTGGTTTCAATTTGAGAGTATCAGGTAAAAATCTATTTAAAAGTTCATTTATCTATCAAAAAATTTAATTAATTAAATAATTAATAATAATTGCATTTAATATAAATTTATATAAGAAAACCTTATTAATAAACAAATCATATTTCATTAAACAAGTATTGGAATCACTTGTAGATGAAGTGTCCGATTCTGTCGGTCGAAAAGGCTTTTCCTCATTGTTTGATATGTCGTCTGTGACCACTTCGGACTCAGTCTCTGATCCTTTTAATGATGTTATTGTTGTTGTTGTCGTCCATATCATTGGCTTATCTGACGGTTTATCCGATTCATCGAGAAATATATATTCATCTTTTGGATTTTCTTTAGTTTGTGGTTTTAATATTTTAGTCACAAATCAAAATATATTTATATAAATAATAAATTGCTAAAAAATAAATGATTATCATATAAATTAATTTAAATACCATTAAATAAAACAGATTTGCCGCAAATCAATGCAGGAATAATTAGTAGTATATTTACTGAATAAAATTGTATTACTAGTTTCATTGTTTTGATTTATCATAAAATTTTAAATAAAAATATGAAAAACATAATTATTATATATAAACATAATTAATAAATAATAAATATAATTTAATTATAACTGATTAAATAAACTAGACCATTCGGAACTATTCATATCCTTCCTAAATAAAAATATATTTTAATTTTTTTTAATATACAGTAATTTACTATACAAATATATTTTCAGTTAGTATACAGATTAACTAATACTAATTTATATTAGTTAACTAAAAATAATGGCAACTTAAATATACAATTCATAATTTATTTTTGCTTAATATTATAAATTAATATAAATAATAAAACATCAACAACCAATTTTTTTTTGAAAATTTTATGCAGTATTTTCATAATTAAAATATAAAAATAATATTAATATAACAAACAATTTTTTATTTAAAATTAACTTTTAAATTGAAAGACACGATTCTATGATTTATACATTATTTAATGAAAATACAGTTTATAAATTATTGAATATTATAAATCTAATTTACTTTAAGTGTATAATTATACAATTGGCACTTTAATAAATTCTCTTTATATAAAAATAAATTTTATACAAAATTTTAAAAAATTTCTTGTAAAAATTACTTAGAAGATAGAAGATAATTATTTATAACTAATTATAAATCAATCAAAATATGTATAAAAATAATTTTCTTATTAAATATTTTCAAMTGTATAAACTACACTATAAATTATATTACCGTAATTGTTGACATTTATATCACAACAATAAAAACTTAGTCAATTGAATTTATTTCATACAAATCGTCAATACTATTGTTAATATCAATGCAAAACTTTATGTGTTCGTCTAAGTTTGGACTCAATGTTTCAACTTTATTATAATGTGTGGCCAAACTTGTATCGGTGTCTAATTTGATCCGATGTTCAGTTAACACATGACTGTGTGCATCGGTAGTACCGAAAAAATATTTTTTCGTATCGCTTGACGATTTCAAACATGTCTTACACTCAAATACTTTATCACAATTTAAATGAAGACGAATGTGTTGCTGAATGGTATGTCCATTGTTTGCTTTATCATTGATTAACGGTTGATAATTGCATAGTTTTAAAGACTGACAAACTGGACAAAAGCCATCGTAACGACGGATCAATTTCTTAAAAGTATCAGTCATTTGAAAGTTCAGAAATGATTCGATCCAATCAATTGAGAGACAAAAGTTGCGAATATTGACAACATTTTTCTCACTAATTGAATGCTGTTTATTATGAGTGCGAAAGGCTTTCATGTTTGCAAAATTGACTGAACATATATCACATCTGATAACTGCTGCCAAATGACTCTTCAAGTGATCGAAGGCTTCCTTTCGATGAAAAAATGTTATCAATTGTCGACAAAATATACATAAATAGAAAAACTCTTTCTTCACTTTCATATCAATTGATTCGGATTTGATAACTGGTTTAATATCAATATTTTCTGTTTGCGTTTCTATATCACAAACGACTTGTTTAGTAATAATTGTCTTGTATTGCGATTCAATTATATCTATAGTTTTACTGACAGTTTGCTCTAAATTTTCCAAATTTAATGTCTTTTCCACATCTTTTGCTGTCAATGTTATTGTCGTTTCTGTACTTTCTGTTATTATGGGTGTCGTTGTAGACATCAATACTTTCTCTGAGCTTTCGTTGCTCTCYTTATTAGCCATTTTATCGACAAAATTATTAAATGTACTAATAATAAGATCTAACTGATCACTACGTGAATGATTCTGTTCTTCAACTGATTTTGATTGAGTTTCAGATACACTTAACTCAACATTATTTTCAGCATTTAATTGATTATCATTAGCTAAGTCCGTCGATTTGTTTTCAAGTCTAGATTTTTTAGCTGCCGGTTCACTATCATCATCTGACTGTCCATTATCTGTCTCTGTCTCACTGTCCATGTCCATTAGATCAGATTCGGGTGACATGGGTTCGCTATCCATAATGTTATTATTATTATTATTAGAGACTGATTGGATCAGTGAGTTTGATTTCGTGAGATTAGTTAATCTCGAATAAGTTCGAATTTGCGTATAATTTAATTTACTATTACTCGACATCTCATCATAGAATTCTTCTAAATTATGTTTAGAACGGGTAGAGTTAGCCGGTGTTTGTGGTAATTGTCGTCTACCACTAGATTTAGTGGCTTTTGTTTTTGAACGGGTAGATTGTGATACTGTTGGCACTTCATATTTTTGKATCCAAAGGTCCAACTTTTGTCCTTTTGTTTTTGATWCCTCCGAAGAAGTGGGTGATTGTGGTGATGAACCATTCATATCAATTTCATTATTAATAATTTGATTGTCTAGTGTATCGTTTAATTGTGAATTACTTAATTCGGGCACTAATTCGTTGCTAAATAGATAAAAATAAATTACCAGTAATTAAAAAATGTTTAAAAATAATAATAAAATACCTATTATTTTGTTGTTCATTATTGTCTAAAAACTCTTTAAGAAACTCTATTTCTTTTATTTCTTTTTGTTTGAGCTCATTATTAATCTCTTCAATCTGTTCTTTGTTTAATTGTATGACTGCGTCTCTCTGTGACCAGAGTTGATCCCACGTARCGTTAAAATCAAATGAAAGCCAATGACCAGGTCGTTGTCGAAGTTGTGTTTCAGCCACTTTCCAGCCTTTCTCTCTAAATGAMGTTGGATTAGCTGTAAGATCGCGTAGATATAATGTACGCTTATCARCACTTTCCTCAAATCTACCGTTACAGTAGTCATGCTCTAAATGGTTGGCAACTGAAACCGCTAAACCTTTTGGTGCAAATAATGGCACATTATTGATACCATTTAAATAAAGCAGATCTTTATTGAGATAATATTTGAGTTCAGGTAGTATTTCTTTTAGATGAAGTGAATAATTATCAATAGTTATATTCATATCTAAAATTTGTGTAATTTGTTCAATAAATTGGTCAGTTTTGACGGTTTCATCCATCAAACCCTTGAYAAGGGATACAACTTTGATATTAATTTCTTTCGGTTGAATACTTGCTAAGAGTAAAGTAACGTAAAGACATTTAAAACATTCTTTAAGATTATCACTAAAAGATATGCTATCATCAGATGATTCAATCAATGTATTTGAAAAAAATGTAGATTTGGGTTGAAATGAGTCCAATGATAATATTGACGGATCATTTGGTATCGACAACTCATCTGTTTCATCGTTTTTATCCAATCCTTTCAATATTTTAAATTTTGTTTTCATTGATATTGAATCACTTAATATTTTATCACTAGTTTCGGGTACAAAAAATGGCAGACAATGATTAAGTATAGGAATAATGAGCTCTGATGGTGGATATCGGATCAATTCATTAGATTTTGTATAATAGTCTGCAGTATTTAAGTCCTGATTCTGTAATCAAAATAATTATAGAAATTATATTTATTTAAATATATCTTTATTTAGTAAATTACTTATTGATTAATTTAAGAYTAYGATACTTACAATTGCTAATAAAAGACGATCTATAAAGTCTTGAAATTCTTTGCTTGATTTTGTACTCATTATATTAATATATTTACCAAAAACACTGTCAAACATTTGCGAACGAGTCATAAAATCAAGGATTTCTATCAAATCGTTTACTTTGTTTTCAATGTTTGTTTTCTTTTTCCGATTCATTGATTTATTTGGTGACAAAGGRTTTAAGACAAGACCTAAAACTATTTTATAAATAAAATTAAAAACAAAATAAACATTTAAAAAACACTACACATTATTAAATAATATAAAAATACCTTTTTTATTGCCATTTATTTTACAAATGAAAGGCTCGTTTTGATGAGCTTTGGTTTGTTCCCTTCCAGGAACTAATCGTTGAAATTGTGGTAAATATTGATTGCCATTAATATTAACCAGGAATGGTATGGGCAATAAATGAGGATCTAATTGAGTTTCTTCATCAATAAATGATAATTTATTAGCTAATTGTTTAATTGGATGATAATCATTATGAAAAAACAGTTCATCGGGAATATCTTTGTAGGAGTTTTGTGAATTAAGACCAAAAAGAGATAATTGTCCGTAACATGTGGTSACACCAAACATAGTTCCATCGGCAGTAAAAGCGGCGTCCAATATAGCTCTGCCTTTCTCACCAGTAAACTGTAATAAATATGTATTAAAACCATAATTAAGATAATCTCTTAGTAATAATAGATGTAATAAATAAAGTAATTAATACCGATTTAATGAGTCGACCCTTTTTCAAGTTCCAAATAACAGCTTTCGAGTCATAACCGGCTGATAAAAATAYATGTGAATAAATGGGATGACTTTGGATGACATGAACTTCATCGGTGTGTTGTCTTAATGTGTGAACTAATTGGCCATCATTTGAATTCCAGACTTTTATTGAGAAATCAGTCAAAGATGTTATGATGTATTGATCGTCTTGACTCCACTGCATCTCAACAACCAATCTCTTATAAATGTGTTTTCCGTTAAGTTCTGTATAAACTTTTATGGGAATCACTYTCCAAGAGTTTTTCTCGAACCTCCAGATAAAAGCATTGTCTTTATCAATATTTTTTTCAATCCATACATTTCTACTTGAAGTAGCAAATGACAGACTATTGTGACTAAAATAGATTCTAAAACAAAATAATGTTAATTACCGGTACATAAAAAATTTGAATCAATGATAAAATTACAAATAAATACCTGTCCACATGTGCCGAATGATATTTCATAGAAGTTAATTTTTTTGGACCCTTAATGGCGTCCACTTTAAAAATAGTAACATAAAAATCTGTGGAACCAACAGCCAATAGATGACCACCAGATGAAAATGAAGAACAAGCAATACCAGAGCGCTTAAAGTGTTGTTCAATTAGTTGAGAATCCGGTTCTGTTTTAAACACTTTAGTCATTGTATTATATTTCCAGAAGCAGATCCTCCCGTCATCCCCTGTAGACATCAAATAACGACTTTCGATAATTTGAGATAACGGACAAAATTTTAGTGAAGTTATTTGTTGGGTGTGTCCTTTGAGTACATATAATGATTGTGYGCTTTTCAAACACCAAATAAATATTAAATAATTTATATCACCCGAAGCTAATAAAGTGTTCTCATAATTAACAGCAATATCTGTTATTTCGTAAACATGTCCACGAAGTGTGGATATAAGGCGCCCATCATTTGTGGACCAAATCTTTATGAGGAAGTCATCAGAAGCCTAAAACAAAATAAAATTTTATAAAAATAAATAATCATTATTATAGTGCAAAATGATTATTACCGTAAACGCATATTTGCCTGTTCTATCAAAAGCAAAACAATAAACACACGAAATGTGTCCCATTTTGGTACATAATTTGCTAAAACTTTTCCAAATTTTTGTTAAATTTGATTCATTAACCACCAAATTATCATTAGATAATTCATCATTCAATTCAATCAATGTTTCATCATATGATTCATTCATGATATCAGTTATATAATCTGTTTGATTTGCATTAGAATTAGAGTCCATATCATTACTACTATTAGTTTTATCATTAATTAGTTGTTCGTCTTTATTCATATTATTTGACTGTTCATTAATATTTTGATTTTCATCACTTTGTTGTTCATTAACAGTACAATTACCGGTAACTAAATTTGTAACACTTTCATGTAAATCATTTACTTCACTTGTATTGTCTTGTTGTCCACTATTTGATACATTATCATCACTAAGTTGTCCATCATCTGAAGAATCGTCACATAAATCAATAACTTCAGGATCTGTTGAATTGTTTGAGTTATTTTCTACTGTATTACTATTGGGAAAGTTGTTAATAACTAATGATAATGTTTGGCGATTCATTAGTCCTTTCGGCCAAAGAGGTATAATTTGTTGATCCAAAAACTCAATTAGATATTGATATTCAGTTATTTTATCTTTTCTTGATTTTGGTAATCTCTGATATAGTTTTAGTTTAGTTTCACACAATTCATTTAATAAATCAATTAATTCATCACTTATTTGAAACTTTTTTGTATGACTTGATGTACTAAACGATTGTTTCATATGTTTCAATATAATTGTTTTWATTTTTGTCTTTTTTTCTTTAATAATTTTATCACAAACTGCTTTAAAAAGTATTTCCAACAATCTTTGTTTATCAATCTTTAATTTTTTGCTAAAGTGATCATAAATTATCTCCCGTTTCGCAATGTTCTCTTGAAAGTCTTCATTTGCTTCAATTCTAAACAATTGTCGTTAAATAAAACAATTTTATCCAATATATCAAAATATTTTACCCGTAATTACTTACTCAATAAGTCTTTCAACGAAATATTTATATTGATATGATTTTGGATTGTTTAGCCATTGGTGTCCAATTAAGGCTAACTATTGTAGAAAAATAAGATATTAGATTTATTAATAAGTAAAAAAAGTAATGATATGTAATCAACTAATCAAACATTTTCAATATCTTTTATAATGCGATGTATGGTTTTTGGATATGCATTGAGCCAGGAGTGTGTCTTTTTATTGCTACTATTTGTTGGATTATTAACCATTGATGACGACTTTTGAAGTGAAGTAGTCCAACGAATAGCTGTTTATAATTATAGAGTTTAAGATTTTATATTAAAATAAAGAAAAACAACAAATAATTACTTGAATCGCTCTTCTGTAATGATCGTTGACTTGTCGACGGACTGTCCAAATGAGATTTTTTGGCTAATTATAAAATACTTTAATTAAAAACAAATATTAACGGTAAATATATCTGAAAATTACCATTTGTTRCCAAAACAGGTGAAACTATTGGTCTCACTTGTATTGAGGAGACACTTCTATTATCACAATTTGATAAATTATTTGTGGAAGAATTAACTATTAAAATAAATTACAATTAACTAAATAAATCAATTTAATGTCAAAAAACTTGCGTACAATTAATATCTGATTCTTTATTTGTTGGGTCAGCACAATAGGAGGTCCACTCCAAATCAAAGATACAATTGACTTTATTTTGTGTCAAATGGTCCTCTAAGTCATCAAACGGTTCAAAAACAAAATTTTCTTTTACATTCTCTTTTGTGATCATCTGTTTCTGCCATTTATGTATTGTCTTCAAGTGATAAACAAAAGATGATAACGAATGAAATCTTTGGTCGCATTTCTTTGATTGTGAGACAACACAACATTTGAATGGATTGTAATTCATATGTTGTCTCCAATGGCTCAACACATCCATAGGCGACAAATCAGTGGTTAATTCAATGTTGAAGTTACGAGTCGTACAATATTTACATAAATAATCATTGTTTACATCTTTGTCTGTAAAATACAAATCAAATCATAGTTGTAATCAAATAAACAAAAATCATTTAATTATATCAATACCCATAATGTTGTGGTCATAGCATTGCAAATGTAATGAGTGTCCGCATTGCCCACAGGTCACCAAATCTGACCTTTTGTCCGATTTTCCGCAAATACATTCATTTTTAAACGGTTTGATTACCCGATCAAATGAGTCGAGTTTGTAATGACTGATAATATTATCGCAAACATTGCAACCAATGACCAAACCTTTTACGTTATTTGATGGCAAATACTGTCGACTATTATGTGATCTCTTAATGGTATCATTCAATTGATTACAATAGTTGATCAATTGATCCAACATATGATCAAATCTTGAATCCACTCTATGTTTAACGTGTGTCATATATATGTGTGGTTTTACATCGCTTTTGAAAATATCAGTTTTTGAGCAAAAAATACAAAAACAGTTATTTTGTGACAAATCCATAACCAGTGGACTATCGGTACTACCGAAGTGGTCACTCAAACATCAATAATATTGTCTCTAATTATGAGTCAAATATTGTTTTCATATTAACTAATAATAAAAACTCTGACTTTTTTTCATTCACTCAATGCATTCAAATTCAATGCAAACATTTGACTGTATTTACAGTATAGCCATACATAATGTCGTATAATATTAATAACACGTAATTATTATTAATATTATTTAATTAATTTAAAGTTAACGCAATAATATTTGTTACTTATTTTGTTCAATAATTTTAATTATTTATAATGTAATAGATATTAATGATAATAATTGTTTAATAAAAATATTTGATATAATGAATAGAAACTTAATATAAAATGTTTACTACATGTACAGTATATTAAAGTTACTGTAAATTAATAATCAGTTATAACCAACAGTTTCTCATTTTGTTTTATTGAAAAATTAAATTAAATTGTTTTAACTCTCATATATAATATGATATATATATTATTATTAATAAAAATCTTTTTAAAGTATTAATTGTTTTATTTAGTATTACTTAAAATGTACAGTACATGTATATTAATAAATAAATTGATTATATCATTGAATTATTTTATATGAAAATCGTTAAAAATCTGCATTTACTTAAACAKCATAATACTGTATATTTGATACCTATATTTTCAAAGTATATGATATGATGAGAGTTAAGTAAGTGGGGGTATAGGGAGTAAAACCAAAATACCCCATAAGACCCAGATTTTGGGATTTTACCAAACTTTATGACCAAATGGCAAAAATTGTGGCTTAAAAATGAGGAAAAATGACAGAAAGCACTGAAATTTTTTTGAAGTTTATAATAATTTGAATTAATACTATTTTAGTAAATGTTATTGTTTTTAAAAGTTATATGAATCTAATTATTAATTAAAAATAAGAAAAATAGTTAAAATCACTTTAAAACCCATCTAAAAATAACATTATTTTAATTAAAATATTCAACTAAAAAAATAATAATTACCTACTTGTCAAAAAAAGTAATCATATTAAAATTTATATAGAAGTTTAAGATAAATAAAGTTAGCAAAACAATAAATACTTATAATATAGTTTTATTAATTTTTAAAATTTTAAGCAAAAAATTAAAAAATATTTTTAATTTTATAATCATTATAACTAAAACTTTAACAAAAATTAAGTTAAATAATTTTTATATAAAAATAACATTTAAAAAATAAAATTATGTGCCTATAAACATTAATTATTATTTAATTTTTTTATATTTTGTAAAAATTTACCTATTTTCCTGGGAATTTATACGGGAACTTTATGGAATTTACATGGGAATATTCGGGAATTTAAGGAATTTTTAGGGAATCTTGAACCCCTTTTGATTTTTGAAAAAATCGCCGTTTAAAAATGCAATAAAAGTCTACACCCACCCTAGACTCCCCCAAGATTTTTCGAGAATTTTGTAAATTGACCCCACCCTACCCCCCACTAAAATCCAAAACCTTGCTTAACCCTGGATATGATATGACATTATATAACGTTAATAAAGAATATTTTGAAGTATTGTATAAATTTATACCATATTTTAGAATTTGATTTTTAAAAATAAATAAATAGTTGTTTAAATGATATTCAATAAACTATGAATTTATTAACGAAATCTATATATTGTATGCTTTATATTGTAGATTATGTATAAAGAATCGATAGTTTAGTTTTTCCCCTTAGAAAAGCATTGTTACTATAAGTTGAAAACAAAATGTTAATAAAAAATGATTATCAAATCAAAAGAGATGTTTTTGTCTTGTTTTGGTCAAAATTTGATAACATTTAATGATATTATATTTTAAAGTCGATTATTAAATTTATTCATACAATTATCATTATACATATATTAATAATTTATAATTTATGCATAATGTAGGAGTATATAAATAAATTTTAGGTATATATATATACAGTATATAATATTAACCACATAACCAAACATTGAAATTACATATTTATGTTATTTTAATAGTTATTAATAAAAAAATATGAAAGTCATTACAGCTTTCTGAAAATTAGCAAAAACTTTCATTTTATTGTAAATTTTTTTCTAATAATACTCTAATGACAACAATTTTAGTTAGTTTTATTTGATGTTTTTTTAATCAATTTTTATTATTATCTGTATTATTTAAAATATATTTAATAATCTATAAATTTGGTTTTTATGTTTTRAATAAATTTGTAGAATATTGTAAAAAAAATTAAGTTATAAAAGAAAGTTTGATAAATAAAATTATTACAAATGGCTAATGTTAACGATTATATCAATGAAGTATTTTTAATTAAAATATTTAGTCATAATTATAAAAAATGTTGATTTATTTAAAATGATTACTATTTACAGATATTATTAGAGCCATACAATTATTTATTACAATCAAGTGGCAAACAAATCCGTACAAAATTGATGACTGCTTTTAATTATTGGCTAAAAATACCCGACGATTATTTAAAAGTAGTTCAAGAAATTATTGAAATGTTACACAATTCAAGTCTATTGGTTGACGACATTGAGGATGGATCTGATCTTCGAAGAGGTAAACCAGTGGCCCATCACGTCTATGGGATGGCAAATGCTATAAATACAGCAAATTATGTATACTTTTTGAGTCTAAAAAAGATTATCGAAAAGTTTCCCAAATATTTGGTCACATCTGCTGTTACTATGTTTACTGATTGCTTAATTGGTTTACATAAAGGACAGGGTTTGGACATACATTGGAGAGAAACATTCAACTGTCCCACTGAACAACAATACTTTCAAATGATAAATATGAAGACAACAGCATTGTTTGCATTGTCTGTTCAATTGATGCAACTGTTCAGTGATAATAAGCAAGACTTTAGTCAATTAATCTGTCTTTTGGGGACTTATTTTCAGATCAAAGATGATTTCGCAAATCTCTGCTCTCAAGAGGTATTATTATTATTATTATTATTATTATTATTATTATTATTATTATTATTATTATATATTTAAAATTATATAAAATAATTCTTTTTTTTCGCTGATAAGTACACTGAAAACAAAAGTTTTTGTGAAGATATCACTGAAGGAAAGTTTTCGTTTCCTATAATTCATGGCATCAGAAGTCAACCAAATGATAGCGAAATTGTTAATATATTGCGACAGAAAACTCGTAACGAAGAACTCAAGAAGAAAGTGATCCAAAAGTTGCTACAATTGGGTTCATTTGAATACACAATCGGTGTCTTAAATAAGATCAATAGTGAGATTAGGGTTGAGCTCAACAAGTTTGAAGCCAATAAACAAATTACTAATATAATTGATTTATTGGTCAGTGATGTTCAAAATTTCCATAATAGTCAATAGTCAAGTGAAAATTGAAGTATATATTGTTAATTGTAATAATATTAATAGTTATCAAATAGTTTATTTAAAAATGATCGATAAAATGAAAAATTAGTTATTAATGATTGTTAAAATTTATATTAACTAAAATAAAAATCTATTTAATTTTACTACTTTAGTACAATATTACTTATAGAATATTTTTAATTAATTAATAAATATAAACTATATTTTTAGTAATACCCCATAAATTAATGTTTTAATTAACAATTTCAAGTTAAATGTGTTTGTATTGAATCAGTGAATAATAATAGCATTGAAATACATTGCAATAGATTTGTTGGTCATGTAATGCATTGCACGTGAGTTGACTTTACAGTTAACTTAACTTTTTGTTTCACGTGTTGACCAGTGTTTCCATTTGAAGACATTTGTCGTCATTTTCAGACATTAACCATATTTTAGGTGACAATTATACCAGTGTTTAGACAGTCATGTCAGACAATGATCCCAGAGATGAACAGATGAGGAAAGATAGCATTGATTTTTTCATATCACTGGTAAAGTATAAGATTGAGTCCAAGAAGTCGAGCCGTCCGTCAAATTTTGGAGTATGTCTTGAACTTTGACCCATTCGGGCCATAAATTATCAAATTATCAACAAAATGGATGTCTAATTGATTGATTAATTTGTTTGATTAATACGTTTATCTATCGATCACTGTTAGGGTCATATCGGGCGTCATATGAGGAAAGATCTGAGGGATTGGTTTCTTAACAAATATCCAAATCCTCCGGATTTCGTAAAATTCTTTCACGAAAACAATCACATCTTTAAATATGACGGCAATACCGGCGATATTCTGCTTAAGACACCACAAAAACGATCTGAACGATCAAAACAACCGAAACCGGATCCGTTGGTTTGTCAGACCAATTCACACAACCAAACCATTAACACTTCGACTGTGAAGATCAATAACTCATGCAATAATCAATTGGATGAGTGTTGTCATCATTACTCGCAAATGATGGATGAAAATCCAAAGATTTCGGTGATTGAATTCCGAAAGTTGACCGAAGATCACAAATTGTGTCTATTGTTGACAATGATTGGCAATTTGCACACCGAATTCAAAGCCAGATTTGCCCGAATGACTACAACCGATGCCATCATTCAAACTTTGAGTACCGGTTGTGTCCATCCCCGTCATAACAGTCAACCGTTTGGCGATAATTAATTGAAACCACATTTATGTAAATTACGGTTTATATTTTAAACAGTGTCTTAATTTCATTTATTACTTTAATTACAAAAACCATAAAATGGTTTCTACTTTTGTTTTGATAAAAAATTATAATTATAAACTGTATTATTGTTTATATTAATAAACTAATTTGTATTTCTGAAAATTAAACTTACGATACAATTATTATTATGACATAACTTTAAAATTTTTATCGGTAATTAAGAAAATAGATTTTTTTACAATATATGGTTAATGAATGTGATATAAATGATTTTAATTGCAATTTTATTTTAATTTGTCATAATATGAATTGTTTTATTCAAAATTTAATTACCCGCACTAGATTATTATTCATTATTATAATCACAAACATATATTAATTAAAAGTTTTATAAGTAACAAAAAATAATTTAATTTTAAAAAACCTAAATAATTAAACAATTTACCTAAAAATTAACGCATAAGTCAATAAAATATTACCGGTAATACCATAATTATACAAATCATACATTTCATGAATATCTGAAATTTTTGGGTTTCATTTTTTGACCAGTTTTTGTAATATTCGTATTAAATATTTAAAAAATGTGTATAAAAAATAAAATTTTTAATTTATATATACAGTAAAATATCTACCGGTAAAATAAATCAAACAATACAGTATAACAAGTGAATAGCATATTAATACTGTATTAAAAATATCAAATTAAGGCAATAAAAATAATTATGTATGAAATGTATAGTATTGTATTCAGAGTGTGTCAACCTGTGGGTCCCATTTAAGGACAGTCCTATTATCGGCCAATTTGTCGATCAGTTGTTTTTCAAATTTATCTCTTATAAGACTAAACTCCATAACAGATTGCGGTCGAGATTCGAGCCAAAGCTTATCAAAGGTCACAAAGAGATAGCAATAAACTTTGTGAAAGTCTTCTAATTTAAACAAACGATTGTATGAATTGAAGAAATGTGTCTTTAGATTACCCGAAGTCAACAGACTTAGGGCTAAATGAGTTAAATTGATGCCAACGATAGCAAAGGGAAAGCCATGTTTAGGATGTAATGAGTGCATCAATATATGACGCGCCGGATCTTTATATGTCGTCACAAAGTATAGCAAATTGTTTAAACTTAAGAAACCCATTCCTCTGAAGTCAGTGGACGGATCATCACCTTGAAAGCCAATGTCTGACCACTGTTTACTTATTAAAGCGGTTAGCGGCTCATCACTTAACTGTTCCCAAAGTGATTTCAGCATATTTTGGTGGTCATTGATATTAGGATCGTATGCTATAGACCTCTGGTCTTCAACGAGTCTAATGAGTTGTTTATAACCGTATATATGGACCAAACAGATCCTATAGGCGACAACAAAGTCTGTATGAAGTTTAACATTGATCTTCTTGTCGACGACTGTGGCTTCGATGGCCTTCTCAAACATAATCCATTTGGCCGTCAATTGCTTTTCATCGGCCAATCGTGACATCTCTGTGTTGATCTTCTTGAGAACCGACGATCTACTCATAAGTATTGAGTATTCAACACCTTTGGTACGATTTGATCCCAAGTTGTCTGCATAACAGAGTCGCTGTAATTCACATAATTTGGTTGTTTTGTGCAAAAACCACTTCACAATTGATCTAAACTGAAGATATAGTATTAGTTTGAATGTCTGCCAAAAACACCGAAAACCAAAACGTATTGCCATTTCTTGTCATTTGATTAATACTTTTATCACTCAATTTATAATCATTTTAAACACAATATTAATGTCAACAATAATCTCATCTCATCTCAAATCAATCAAATTATTATTAACTATAATATAATTAAATGTATAATAAATAGTTGAGACAATTGTCTGTTAATAAGTTAATACATTATGTATTAATAATTTTATATTAATATAAATTTAATGTAATAACAAAATTAACAAAATTAACAATAATATCGTCTATTGTATTGTCAATGTATTGATTGTGTTATGCATTGGCGCTTAGTTTAAACATATTCATCAAATCTGTAAATATTAATATTATTATTTGTTTTTAATGAAATGTAAATTTAATATTAAATTTGCTAATATATAATTATTTATAATTTAAAATCTGTTTAAATAATTAAATTATCTAATTAAAAAAATAATAATTTTTATTTATTACTTATTATATTTAATATTTATTATTCAATTTTATTGTCAATATCTGTTGATTTACATTAACTGTAAATTTTAATTAACATATACTGTTATAAAACTAAATAAAAATAAAAATGATTTAATTGTCAGTGTTTTATAAGTAGTGTTGGCAAAAAAGAGAAATTTATAAAATAATCGAGAAATTTCTAGAAAGTTTCTAAAAGAAATTTCTATCTATGGGATCCCCTCTAATTTTGTTATCTTGATATTTGCTATCATATAACAATACATTACCGTAAATATTATTATTAGTATTTTAATTATTAATTAAAGTAAAAAATTAATTAATTAAATTACAGTATGATATATATAATAAAATGGTAAATACAATTTTACAAAACTAATTATTATTATTTTATATATAGGTATCTCATTTGTATAGTATTGTACTAATTTATAATGTATACTGTAGTATAATATATGTATAATATTATACCTTATTAATATAGTATTACAATAACTATAGATATGGGGATCCCATTGTATAACAATAAAGTTAAATTTCTATAGAAATTTATTCACGAGAAACTTTCTAGAAACTTTCTATTTGCCCATCTCTATTTATAAGACATTAACTGTAAACTGCATTTGTTTAATATTTGATGTTAGTATGTTTGCTTAAATACTTGTATACAACAATAAAAATAATATTTATATATATAATATATATTAATAATAATAAATAATTATTATCTTGTAATTTAATAGTTATTTATTTTTTAAATACTTTGATAATTATAAAAATTACTAAAAATATACATGATAAATTTATAAAAGAAGATATTTTGAATAATTGAAGTTTTGAATAACTAYATTAGTCTGAATTTAATAAAAATTAAGATTATTGTTTTTACAATTTAGGATTTTAAGTACGAGAATATAATTTCAAAATATCATAGATTTCTCAAAAGATCATCAAAGGTCTTGTCCGGGAATGTCAAATGTTTATAGATTTTACTTAAACTTTAACATAACATTAAAGAAAGTAAAAACTTTTAAACGATATAAAAATTATTTATTCGGATAATTAATAACAAAGTTATTTAAGTTTTTATATTAAAACTTCTCATAACTTTTTAACTATTAATGTTATTTAATTTTTTCAATATATTTCRATAATAACAATAATATTTATTTTATTAATATATATAAAAACGAGTTTAAAATAACTTAAAATAGTAGACTAAACTAAAAATAATAATATAATGTCATTTTTGACAATATTACTCAAGAGTATCCAAAAATGTTTTTCATGAATAAATAACTAAATAATACATAGAATTCATTTATGTAATAAATTTTTGGATACTCGTGGGTAATATATTTATACTTATTTTTAAAAATGTTAAAAACTTAATATTTCTATTAATTTAATAAATATACAAAAATAACAATAAATACAAAAACAATTAATTATAATTCAATTTTGTTCCATTTTTACACAAATAATATTAAGTTAATTTTATTTCTATCATATTTTAATTGTTTATAATGTAATAATTTTATAATATTTGATATTTACTAATTATAAATTCAATATTTTCATTGTTTTATTGTTTTTATTACATTTATTACAATATTATAAAAACCGTCACAATATTATTTTATTTACTGATTTTTAGGTACTATGAAATATTTGAATAAACAAACAAATGTTTTATTTATGGTTAAAGTTGTCAGATTAGACTATTTTTTACTATTATAATAATTTATTATAAAACTTATTTGTTTTATATTTCTTATTTAAAGTTTTAATGTCTTTATTTTTGATAACTTTTATTATGTTTAATCATTTACTTTTGAAAAGTTAGTCAAAAAATAAATAACCAAATGAAATGCATTGGCTTTTAACTAATTGACCACAACTACTAATATTGTAATAACTTTATTATTAGATAATATATTTAAATTATATGTAATTTTTAGGCTTTTATTATAATTAAAGGTGTAGTCTATATAATTTCATGTATTAGGTGTAGGCGTATAGATATGTGAATAACTTTTAAGATCCGATTCAATTCGGTTAACAATAAAATAGAAGCTAATTGTTGTTAATACAGTAAGATCTACGAATATATAGTATAATTAAATAATATAATTTCTATATTAATAATAATAATAATTTTTATTATTTCATTTTTAATTTAATTTAATAATTATACTAAATATTAAAAAATATATATTTATAATTTAAAAAATAGATTTTCATTTTATATTATATAATTTTAAGTTTACTAATATTTTAAGACTATTTTCTTCAAATTTCTGTATGAAGTTGTGGGTAATGAATCTTTAGTAAGATTATCACTGATTATCAGAAACTTAATAAAATAGGATTTAAAATTATTATTTTTAGAAAACATAGTAAAAGATTTTTTTATTTTATAGATATACTTTTAGTCAAATATAATAAATGTTTGTTTGACTTTTTATTACTGTAGTAATATTATATGGTATACAATATTATATATACCACTGGTGATCAGCAAAGTGATTTTTGATTATTTTGATTAAAATGCACTGTCGAAGCTTATGGTTTATTATAATATATTTCATCTAGCTCAAATACACTGTTACATATTTATTTTAATTAAGTAGTATATTTTATTTAATATTATATAAAAAAGGTTATTAAATTTGTGTATTATAATTTTTTTGTTTTTTATCTTGGTCAGTAATTATGTTTTCAAGTAAGGGACCGTATAATCATTGTGATAATGGCTGATATATACAATAAATTAGTATTATATAATTTATATTATGCATTACTACAATGTTATATTGTTATGTAATTTATATATTCCTGTAATATATATAATTTATATCACATTTACTGTACGACTAACCGTTACATTTTACTTCTATCATATTATCTTTCATCTACTGGTGTTTTATGTCGTTTTATTGTTGATAAAATAATTAGATAATATAAAAATTGCTAAAAATTATATATTACTAAACTATTAGTCATTTATTAATATATATTTACTATTAAGCATTGCATAAATAAACATAGTATAAGTAAAATTTCATAAAAATAATTTTAAAGATAAATATCCATTTTAATAAAAAATAATTTTAATAATAATRAAATATTTAATATTTTTATATAATTTAATACAAATTAATAAGTTTTTACAATATCCTAAGCAATCATAAGGTTAAAAATCTTTTAAAAAAATTATTTTACAGATTTATAAAATGATTAGTATTATAATTATAGTTCAAAATTTAAAATATTTATTAAATTTATTTTTACAAACAAATTTTTGTCTAAARTTATATAAATAAGATTAAATATAAATAATATTAAATAACATTTTATTAGTATTAAATTAAAAATTTATTTAATAATTAATTATTTAATTTATATACACTCACAGTAAGTAATGCAATTTGTTTAAAACAAAATCAGATATTTTTAATAATTATAATTTTATTAGTTTAAATTTAGTTTAAAAGTTTCAAACAAACAGTTGAGTTTAATAATAGTTATTTTAAATATTTAATTTGTTTGCTTAGTTAACAATTATTATATAATATTATGCATTATATAAGATGTAATTAATAATTAAATAATGTAAAAATTATTTTTGTTTGTCATAAACTTACGATTTTAATAAATCAGATTACATTCTCAGTTTGAAACCTATGCTCTCTCTCTCTCTCTCTCTCWCTCWCTCWCTCACTCACTCACTCACTCACTCACTCACTCACTCACTCACTCACTCACTCACTCACTCACTCACTCACTCACTCACTCACTCACTCACTCACTCACTGTGTATAATTGATCCACACCTACGTTCAATCTATTTTCTATTCATTGTTATCAATCGATTTAATTTTTTAATAAATTAAATGTTGAATTCATTAAATTGTTAATTACATTATTCAGTTATATTATGTTAGAATACACAGTAAGTTATTATATAATATAATTACAGTATATTAATATACATTATAGGTATTAAATAATAAATTCTTAAGTAAGTAATATTAAATAAATAACATTTTTTCTTAACATTTTAATTGTAAACAACTTATTTTATGTAAATAACATTATTTTAACAGCTTTTCATTTTTGGATAAAATTTATTTATATAATATTCCGTTAATATTAAAGAATCGTAAAGTGATAAAAATCCCAAAGAAATAAGAGGATATTAAATACAATAGCATTATTTCATTAATTATTATAAATACAATTTTCATATATTTTACTATAATATCATAATCTTTTTTTGTATTTTTGATATATCAACAATAGTTGAAAGTCGACAAAAAGGTCAATACGTATAAAGTATTGTTATTATCATATAATATTACAAGTATTTATAGCTATTGTATATTATATAATCAATTATGTATTAGTATAAGTGATGATGATTTTGCAACAATATAGAGATTGTAGTCTTTTTACGGAATGTCAATCATAAACAATGGTTTCGATACATAATAACATATTATGACAAAACTGGGAGAAATGAAATGCAAAGTTGTATTTGTTATTTGTTGAGTTGAAAACATCGTACATATTATAAGATTGGTGTTTAAATGTCAT